TTTATTTGATTAGCGGGAAAAATAATCGTTACATGAATAGGCTTTATGTTAATTTTTCTCATAGAAAATAATAGGTGTATAATGCTGATCGGCTATTTATTTAAATTGCTACCAGAATGCTAATAATCTTCAGCTAGTAAGGAGCAATTTGTTAATTAATTTCTTAGATGGCCGAAATGGACGGTCAACAACGCCCAAGAAAACCCTTCATCAACGACAATTGCAGCTTATCACATTTATTTGGGCTATTGACAATTCAATTTAACGATAGCCGAATTTCCAAGTCGCACTTATCGCAGCAATAGATAGCATTTGACCTAATAAAACGTTAAGCCTATAGAAAATATCTACTTTCTCCTTTAATATAGCCAAATAGGCATACAGGTAATTGTAATAAAGGTTGCCTGCATCACAGTGGTATTTCTGAAAAGCATGGGCGTAACATCGGTGTTTCTACAATGAGTGCAAATTTAGTATACTATATCGTGCTAAATCGAGATTTTTAACTACTTCTAAAATTTTTCAACAGCTAAATCGATATTTCTCAAAAATTTTTCAATAGCCAAATCGAGATTTTTCTAAAATTTTTCAACGGTTCATCGGGATTTTTAACTACTTCTAAAATTTTTCAATAGATAAATCGAGATTTTCAACTACTTCTAGAATTTTTAGAATAGCTAAATCGAGATTTTTCTAAAATTTTTTAATAGTTAAATCGAGATTTTTAACTACTTACTTTAAAAATGTTTCAATCAGTATAACTGAATGCATCGGAAGGTCTAATTAATCTAAGGTTAAGGCACGAATGCAATTTTCTCTTCAGGCGTTGAAATAGATTTTTTCAGCTAAAAAAAATAAGTAGAAAATATTAAAACACAAACTTTTACAAAACAAATTTTTCTTATAAACATGGTGTTAAAAATGTATTATTTTCAAATTTCTGCCGGAAAATTATTTATTTCGGTGGTTGATTATACAGGGTGTCCCGTAAGCACATGATCAAAAAGGTGCTGCGAGATTCTTTGGATCAAAAGAAGACGATCTGACCTAACTCTTATTAACAAAAAATGTCGGGCCCCTCTGCTATTGATGGTCAAAGTTCTTTAAAAAAATTATCTTTTTCGAAATATCGGGAGAATAGTACGATGTATTTTGGTGAAACTCACTGTGAATTTGTTCTTATTTAAGACTCATATTTTGCTGAAACAATCGAGTACAGGCGTTTTGGACAAGTGGTGAATTCTTGAGTGTTGTGTACAAAAACTACCAGAACTTTTTATTTGGTGGATGGAATCAACAATTTTTTTTTGGTTGAGGCACTATTCATTTATTCACAATTTTGTGCTCTTTGTAAAATTTTGTAGCATTTATAGTTTTTGCGCAAAAAAACATGTTTGCTTTCTAGCCACTTAACAATACTAGACACTAACGGCAAATATGCGTCGAGTAAACGCTTACGCTTTTACGCAAGTTGTCTTCGCAAAACTCTAATACTTTTTGATCATGTCGGCCGCTTCTTCATTTTTTTTTTTAATTTTTTTTGTTTGCCCGGCGGCTGGAGGATAAAAATCTTCCCGCAATACCGGGTAGTGTTGGATTTTTACCAACTAAAAAAACCCCCATTTGCGCTGTAGTTTCCAGGAAATCCTTTAAAACATGCAGTCGTCTGAAGTTTGTGTCAGCTCTGGCACCCGTATGCCGTTGCATCTCATTCTCTCCACATAGGCTTCATGCCTGATGTGGGCATCTCGCTAACTTAAATAAGCTGATTAAGCTAAACCACTTGATGGTTGTAAGCTACGGTTTGCGCCGTTTGCCTGTTGCCTTGCTGGCTCAGCTGGTGCCTGGACCTTTTTTCCTAAGGCCCATATCCATTGGTTCATAACTTACCGCGTTGCGAAGATCTTCATTGCAGTCAGAGACAAGTACTTGTCTCTGTTGCAGTGGTTTTCCGCTTTCTGGAAGTCAGCTCCTGCTTTTCGGGCTATGAAGTCGCGGAGTGGTTCCCATTTTAGATCTCGCGTACGAACCAAGGCGCGTCAACTGCCATTCGCCGAATTTTGTTTTCCGTGGCTTGTAGTCTTTTTAAGTGGCATTCGCTCGCATAGCCCCACGACGTAGAGCCATACGTCAATGCGGGCCTGATAATTGTTTTGATCAGCAAGAGCTTGTTCCTAATGCTCATATGACTTTGGCGGTTGAGGAGTGGGTAGAGCTTGCTGGTTACAGCTTTGGCCTTATTGATAGATGTTTGAACCTGCTTCCTCCAAGTAAGCTGCTTATCCAAGATGATACCTAGGTATTTCGCCTCTTGTTTCCACTCGACGTCCACCCCATCGATGTTGATATTTCCATCACCGCTGTCCCGTCTCCTACCAATGAGGAGGGCTTGACTTTTGCCTGGGTGAATTTTTACCTTCCACATAGTAAACCACTCGTGTAGTTCATCAACTGCGAGCTGAAGTCTCCGCCTTACGCATTCCTTGCTCCTTGATGTCGCAAGGAGGGCTGTGTCATCGGCAAAGAGTGCCAGGGTCGTATTAGTAGTCCGAGGGATGTCGCTGGTAAAGAGATTGAAGAGCATTGGTGAGAGTACCGCCCCCTGCGGGACACCTGCTTTCATGCTCCTACTAGTCGACCTGCTTCCTTCAGTTTGGATGCTAAAGGTTCTTCCGCGAACAAAATCATCAACTAATTGGCACATATTAACACTGATACCATTTGCCCGTAGCTTCTAGACCAGCCCTTCATGCCAGACTCTGTCAAAGGCCCTTTCGAAGTCCAGCATGAGGATTCCAGTGGACTTCATCTGGTTCATTTCCCTGGAACATCTTTCCACAATCCTGAGCAGTTGCAGTTCAGTGGAGTGTTTCCCTCTGAACCCGAACTGCCCCGGTGGTATCACATTTAGTTCGTCTGCTTCGTCCCGCAGTCTTCGTAAGATGGCTCGTTCAGCTATCTTACTAATGGCTGGGAGCAGACTGATCGGCCGGTAGTTTTGGGGACAGCTCTTGTTTTTGCCTGCTTTGGGTAGCATGATAACTTCGGCGTGCTTCCAGATGTTCGGGAAATGCCCTGTCCTAAAAATAGCGTTGATTATGTTGGTAATTAAGGCTATTCCTTTCGTCGAAATATGTTTTAACATCTTGTTGCTGATGCCATCTCTTCCTGGGGCTTTCTTAGTCTTGGCACGTCGGTTGATTGCCGCTACTTCCCCGGGGGAGGCCTTCGGACTGCTCGCCTCACGGTTGTTTCGTGGAGGCGGTCGTCATTTGGGTGTGTGTTCACTCTTGATTCGCGCTCCATAGTATCCGCGAGAACATCAGCTTTATCTTGTGCTGAGTAAACCAAACCTTGCGATCCATGGAGTGGTGGTATCCTGGTGTCTTCGCGTCTCAGAGCCTTTTGCATTCTCCAGATGCGTTGGTCCTCGACGCTCAGTTCTTTTAGGTGACTCTCTCACTTCTCGTTCCTGTACTCGCGTAGAACCTCTCTGAGCATTTGCCCTTGTTGGTTTAGGGCAATCCTGTTCTCCTGCGTTGGGTGCAAGCGGATGTGTCGGATGATGATTTTCCTGCTGAGCCTATCTGGCAGTTCTGCGCGAGCTACCGGCAGTTCCTCGGTCACCGAGCTTTTGCTGTATGCTAGAATTATTTCATCTTCCAGGCTTTTCGCTGCTTGATCCACGCCATTTTTGTCATCTATCCTTGGAATAATTAGTTGCTGTGTTAGTTCTGTGAACGTTGCCCAGTTGGTTGTAGTTCTTTTCATCAGAAGCTGCGCTTTGTCATCGCCTCCTATGTTGAGCATTATTGGATTGTGGTCCGAGGATCCCTCCTCGAGAGTCTGGATACTTGCTGTTTGCCTCGTGTTCTTGAGGAACCAAAACCCTAACACTCTGACCATGTCGGTCACTTCTTCATTAGAAAACGTCCTTCGAAACGAATTTGTGAGATTGACAATGATTTTATGCCTCGTATCACGATATTTGCAGTTAATGTGTAATATTGTTAAGTGGTAAGAAAACACAAATATTTTTTTTCTCAAAAGCTATTACGGCTACAAGATTTTACAAAGAGCAGAAAATTGTGAATAAATAATTAGTGCATCAACCAAAAAAATGAGTTGATTTCATCCACCAAATAAAAAGTTCTGGCGGTTTTTTTACTCCGACACTCAAAAATTCACCACTTTACGGAGTCAAAAGTTAATATTTTTAGTCTTTTATAATTTTAAAATCTACTTGTAGTCAACTAACCAAAGACCTTCAATTTTGAATTTTTGGCTTTTTTAAATACAATGAACCGTTTTTGAGGACATTCCTATTAAGAAAAGAAGTGCTTTATTGAAGAAGAGACATAATTTAGTCAATTAAGGCTGATTAACCTAACGACTCTTAAATACTTCTTCTCAAATTAGTTGAAAATATATTTATGACTCCATATTCCTGTTTGCTTAATTCGATTTTTAGTTTCTTTCTTGAGTACTTTGCCTCTTGCTACATGTTGTCAAAGAATAAAAAAATCGTTTTTATTTCAAAAAATTTGTCTTTTGGTGTCTATGAAATTAGGAAAAATTATAGTTAGGTATGTTATGACCAACCGTGATGACATGGTTGGTCATTGTTATCGTTGGATAGAAAATTGAAAATTCGATTCAGTCATAACCGCATGAGTGAGGAAGTTCGAGTAGTTTTGACCCAGAAAGCGAAAATGTGAATGTCAGACACTTAGGTGCAAGATTATGCCAAAGTTTCATGTTTTCCGTCCCGTTTTAGCTCATTTCTCGGAAACAAAATGAGCAAGAATGCTCATTTTTACATCGTTCCAGTGAGAACTAAATGGCCTTTTTAGAAGTTTTGCAAGAACCATTTGAGTTACAGAGTTGTGGCTGAAAAATTACGTATTTCTTCACAAAAATGTGTTCTAATCTAAAAAATACTTCTTAATAAATAATGGGTGCGCCCATGCTTACTGCCAATCATTTATCATTCCATCCGCGGAGGCGCGTCGTCGTTGTTGTAGCCGGCAACCGTCAAACTTAACTAGACATACCAAAATTGTTGCACATTTTCAAGAATTATTTCGTCAAACAATGCAATAAACAAACGATTTAAGAAACCTTTTACGAACCAATATTATATTCTGCTCAAAATCCATAATTAAACCATACTGCCGGATCACACGTGGTCGGTCTTTCATCAAGCAATAAGGTATTTAATGTCTTTTCAACATGTGATAGTTTAATGTTTTGGTTTTTCAAGGGGCTGTTTTTTTAGAAAAACTGAAAAGAATGGCTGGAACAGATGTAGCTGCTCTGGCAGCTGACCTGGCTCGAGCAGTTGAGCTGACAATGAGTTGTGAGGCCTCCCAAGCTGATAGGTTAAAGGCGTATCAAGCATGTGAAAGTTTCAAAGAAACATCCCCTTTGTGTGCTGAGGCAGGCCTTTATCTGGCTGCCAGCAATCAAAACAGCCTTATTGCTAGACACTTTGGGTTGCAATTGATGGAATACACTGTTAAATATCGCTGGACTCAAATTAGCCAACAGGAAAAAATATTCATAAAGGTTGCTAATTCTTATTCATAATTAGATTATTTGTATGTTAAAGTTCACGGTACAATTGCAGGAGAATGCCATGAAGCTTCTAGCTGCTGGAGGAATCAGTGAGGAGATCCACATGAAAGATGCCCTCAGTAGGGTGATTGTAGAAATGGTGAAGAGAGAGTGGCCACAACAGTGGCCAAGTCTTCTCAATGAACTCTCTGATTCTTGTGCATGTGGAGAAACGCAGACCGAATTGGTCTTGTTTGTTTTTCTCAGACTAGTCGAAGATGTTGCTCTGTTGCAGGTAGTACATAAACGACCAAATAATCGCACCAACATTGAACTGTAACAATTGATTCCCTTTTAGACATTGGAATCAAATCAAAGACGAAAGGACATTTATCATGCACTTACAGCAAACATGAGTCTCATCTTTGACTTTTTCTTAAGGCTTATTGAACTTCATGTCAGCCAACTGAGGGCTTGCAATGAAGCCAATCCTTCTAAAGCAGCAGCCCACAGTAGAGTTGTGCAAGTGGTACTGCTCACTTTAACAGGTAAAATTTATAGTATTCGATTTACCAGAATAGTTTTGATGTGAAGCGCTATGCATTCTTTTCCCTATAGATTATTACTACTTGATGTTAATAACCTTAATAACCATGTTAATAAATAGTGCTAACTTTCAATGCGTTCCGATTTTCAGGCTTTGCCGAATGGGTCTCAATGACCCATATAATGGCACAGAATGGCAGACTCTTGCAAATCCTTTGCCTGCTGTTGAGCGACAAAGCGTTTCAATACCCGGCAGCAGAATGCTTGTCCCAAATCGTGAATCGCAAGGGCAAAATCGAGGAAAGAAAACCGCTGATGATGCTCTTTAGCACTGAAACCATGCAGTGTATTCTAGCGGTTGCAAAAAATCCAGGAAATGTTGCGGATGACCAGTTTTACTTGTTCAAAAAGAAGCTGATCCAGGTAATGAGGCTGTTACAAAAGAGTAGTTTCAGTTCTTTGACTTTGGATCATTTTAGGTTCTTGGCGGATTGACTACCCAATTGTGCATAATTTGCTCTAAAGATTCCACTTATAGGCCATTGAATTTTGCAATGTTTCTTGAAGCGGTTTTGGCATACAGCGCGCATTCAAGCTTGGTATTAGCTCATTTGGCCAATCCGCTTTGGAATAGTATGCTGAAACATGATCAAGTAAGTCAGCAGGAGATATAAGAAAGCTATAAAAAGTTTAAACTTTTCCATTACAGTTATCTAGGGATCCAATTTTTCTCAGTTCTATACCGCAATGGGTTCAGTGCACTGCACCGAAAATTATCAAATTCAGTTACCCAGTGGGCAAAAGTCCAACGAATGGCCTAAGAGAAACGCTAGCTTATGCTAAACTAGATTTTGACAGTGAGGAAGAGTTTTCTGTTTATTTTTATAGGTGCCGGTCAGATATTCTGGATTCGTTCAGGTACTTGCTTGATTTATTGATCAATTCTGTTTTAAATGTTTTTTTTTAATTTTCCAGACAAGCTACCATTGTGGCTCCTCTCATAACGTTCAACTATGTGGAGCACTGGTTGCTAAAATGTCTTTCATTGCCAAATACATCTTATGGATTGACTCAATCGGATTCTTTTTATCAGGAGTGGGAAGCTCTGGCCAATTTCCTGGAAAGTGTATTGAGCAGGTGAGCAACAATGCAGTTATTTTATTAACTAGACAGGAAAGTGGTAGTTTCCTCAAGAGATACGAAAGAAAAAAACTGTTAATTGAAGATTTCATTTGTTTGGAACAGTCTAAATGGTTTTTGATCCAAAAATTGTACTGTTTTTCATGTGAGTTGAGTGTATGGTGTGTTTTTTTGCAGGGTGTTACAAGCATCGGAAAGACCGCCGATTTCAACAGGACTGAGACTGTTGCAAATGTGTCTGACATATCAGCCTATAGATCCATTGATTATCTCGACTTTGCTAACGTGCATTTCTGCACTGTTTGTGTTTTTGAGTATGTCAACTGGACAAATGGCACCTGCAGCAAATTCTGTAGCCGTTTCTGGTGCAGCGCTTCTGCCCCAAGTGTTAGAAAAAATATTCGCCACTCTGGTTTATGTGCCCGAAGGGCAGAAGAATCTTGCCAGATCCAGGCAATTAAAGAACGTTCGAAAGCATGCAGCGTCTCTGATAGTGAAAATTGGTGAGTAACCTTTGAACGTAACGTAAAAATCTGCATTTTAAATAATTTATTTTTTCAATTCCATAGGGAATAAATATCCGTTGTTATTGCTGCCTGTTTTCGATCAGATAAAAGCCACTGTCGAAAATCTGGCAAGTCAGGACGGTCCAGCTCGATTGAGTAATCTGGAAAAAGTCACCCTTCTGGAAGCTTTGTTGTTGATTTCCAATCATTTCGGTACGTTTTTTCTACTTATCCGCATAAAAAATTGTGTGTCCTAGCAATGTTTCTTCAAAATAATCTTTTAAATTTCGGGATGTAATTCGGTTTGTTTTGTTCTTAGGCGATTATGACAGGCAAAGCATGTTTGCTGGAGATATTTTGCGGGAAGCGAACGTTCAGTTTCTTGGCATTGTCAGCTCTGGCGCCCTCAAAGGAGTAGCAGAGTTTATTTCCTTTATTGGTAATTAAATGCAATAACCAATTTTCCGCATTAACCGATACCTGATTGTTTTATAGGCCTCGATAAACCTCCAGTGCCTGAAAATACTGTTGATATTTACGGGCAGAACAGGAACAGTCTCGTGTTTTGTGTAAATCTAGTGTTGGGTGCTATTAAACGATGTTCGTGGCCAGATGATCCCGAGCGGGCAACTCGCGGTAAGAAAAAACTAATAATCCAGTGATCTCTATAAAAGCAATTTTTTCTTATTATAGGAGGTTTTGTGGTGTCGCTAACAGAATCAGGTAATCCTGTTTGCCGTAACCCATCTGCTCCTCACGTGGTGCCTTTATTGCCCCACATTCTCTCTCTTATTAAAATTTTCAATGAAATGTTCACTCCGGAAGCGGATATGTTGATTCATGAAGGTTATAAAGGCTGTCTAGCAATTCCGGAAGTTGAAAAGGCTACTTTGCTAGGGACAGTAGGTTTGTGCTGTTCATTGGGATAATTTTGTAGCTTTCGACTAAACTTGTAGTTTTTCAGGGCATGTAGACAATGGCGAGCAACTGGTGGTACAAAGTTCTTTGGAACGAATGCAGTGGTTTCTTACAGCGCTCCATGAGAGCTGTTTTCATTTAGTGGGCTCAATGGGGCCTTCTTTAGGCAGAGATTTGTATAATATTCCTGATTTAGCTGTAGCAGTAATTAATAGCATTTTGTCGCGTTTACAAGTAAGTTCATATGGGTGTTTTTTTTACTTAACTTAGGTTTATTTTCGCGATTTTTTTCCAGCATATGCCTGACTATAGACTGAGGCCCATTATCCGGGTGTTTTTGAAATCTTTCATGTACTCTTGTCCAGCTCCATATCATGAAATAGTGGTCTTACCCTTGCTAGCTCACGTTGCACCGATATGTGAGTATCTTTATCAGTTGATTGTTTTTTTTAACTGATGATTTGCTCAAAGTTGGAAGCCTTTTTTAAGTGATTAGTATTTTTGATTAATTTAATTCAGCAAAACATTAAGATTTTCAAAACTAATTTGTGGGTAATTTAATTACATTAGGATTAATTAATTAAATTAATTTTAAATTGCTTCAGATTTAACCAAGTTACAATCGAAATGGCAGGGAGTTATCGAATTTAGAAACCGGGAGGTTCAAGAAGACAACGCCGATACTCAGGAACTGTTAGAAGACTTTCTAACAAGGGCATTGACCAGAGAATACCTAGACTTACTTAAGGTTAGTGGAGGAATTAATTAGAATATTTTTACTTGAAGTGTTGCCTTCTGTTAAAGGTTGGGTTGGTTGGGGGCAGTTTGACACCGGAGTCCAATTCGGGCACGATGGAAACGGAAGAGCTAAGCAACTCCCCAACGCCGCCTTCAACTCGATCCAATTTGACTGCTGAAGTTATTTCAGATTTGGGTAAAGTTTCAGCATTATAATTTGCAAATCTGGGTTTATCTAACGGGAGTTTATGTCTTCTCCAGGCCTAATATTGCTTCGAAATGACAAAACTTGCCAACCTATCGTGTTGACGGTTTTGGGTGCCTTAAGCTGGATCGACAGTACTGCTTCATTGAAAGCTACGCAACTAGCTGGACCTATAGTGCGACAAGTGAGTAAATCAAGCCTTACTGAGAATGTTGTGCGAGTTTTGAATAAATTTCAGCTAACAATAGACGCATCTTTGACCGGGGAAATGGCCACGCACATTATGGTTGCTGTGTTGAACTCACTGATTCTGCACGGCCAGCACGAAGGCAATCAAGGGCTGCTGTTGACTTTGGGAGCTCAAGTCTACGAGATGTTGAGGCCGTCTTTTGTTGAAGTATTGGGAGTATGTACTTTTTGTCATCGAAAGTCTTGTTTTTGTAACGATTTTAATTCCATTGTCAGGTAATGCAGCAAATCCCCGGCGTGAATCCGGTCGATCTGCAGAAGTTGGATGAACGAATTTCTGGTAGTACAAGCAAAGGAAATAAAATCGAAAAGGTGAAGAAGGATTTGTTCAAGAAGCTAACAGCGAATGTAAGTACATTTTTGAAATCTTTTGCTTGGAGAGTAAGTCACAAGATATTTTGTAGCAGCTGATTGTTTTTCTATCTCATAAATGTATTGGTTTATTTTTCTAAATTTCTCATACGAACAAAGCACAGGAAGTTATCTATCTCTAAACATGCATTAGAGCACCAGATGAGTAAAATGCAAACCGTTTAGCCAGATAATTAAACTGGTACTCATGAGAGATACAGATTTACACTCACTTTGATTTAATTTTTTAATGTCTAAGGGTTACTTTTTTAATTTTTACTTCTGATTGTTACTTTAATTTGCATTGAAAACCTTTCGTAACTGTTTTTTTATGTTCAGCTTATAGGAAAAAGCATGAGTCAGTTATTTAAAAAAGAGGTCAAGATCAACAATTTGCCTCATATTCCCGCATCCAAAAAGGACTGCAAAGAACAAGTGCCAGATTTAAGCAGCTTTTACGCCATTTAGTGGTTAATTTTTTATGTATTCATCCTGGGACTAGAATAAATTATTTAAATTATAAATTTTTATTAAATTTGAAAGATTTGTACTCGCGCATAATGTTATCCGAATAAGAGTTTGTTTCCAGATTGTATAGGGGTGGCTTAGGTGTGATATATTTCCGGTATATAATAAAGGAAGACAAATTGTGTGTTGTTGAATGAATGGTGTTTAACGGTATGCCAAAGTATGTTTATTAAAATATGCGCTACTAAATCTCTAATCACCCTGTAGAAATGTGTGGCATTCAAAATCAGTTAATCTACCGGAAAATTTAGTTTAATGAAAATGATGTGTAATAATTTGAATGCCATATCTAACTGTGTCTTGTACAGGGTGTCCAAAATTATATGCACAGAAAACATAATTATATTGACAATTACTGAATCAAACTTCATTTTAATCCACCCATGCTTCATGAATTTTTGGTTCTGTATTTTGTATTTTTTTGAAAATATTTTTTTAGTTGAACTGATAAATTTGTTGGGTAAATTGCCCAAGTTTCTATAGAGCTCCAATGGTTTTCTGCCTATTTTAGGGTGCGTTTGTGTTACTCGATCCACTACATCGATATAAGATGACTTGTACATAAAGGGTGTTTTATGTTGTTATTACTTTTCGGTAAAACTACTTCAATATGTAAATGATTTGCGAATACCTTTATGGTAGTGAACGTTTGATATTTGGAATACTTAGCTGATGAAACTGCATTTTTTGTATATAATTCTTGTTTATATTTAAATTGATAAGTTTTGTTTGGCTTTATTAATTTAATAAAGATATTGAATCAACAAATGGGTTGTTTTAGTTGATCTTTAAATTCTAGCGCAATCTATGGTGTTGTTTGGGCGATTCTCGGTAAATCATGTGGCCCCAAGTGTCGATTACGTCGAAAGACTTTCTTCCTAGCTGCCATTTGTCTGGAGGTTTAGTGCACGTTTTTGGATCGCTTTCAAACGGATTCCATGCAGTTATTCCCCGCTCTGGAATTACGACAAAAATCATTTCAAACCCACTACATGTGTCCAAGAAAAGTGACTTATTGCTTTATGAACAGTTATGTAATTTGCCAATTCAAAAGCGCTTTTGCGGCTTAGACATGATTATGCCGCCCGTTTTGCCGATGGTTTCTCGATAAGTGGTTGAGGAATTCGGCAGGCTTCTCATGCTCAAAGTTCTCGATTGACTATCTGGTTAGAAATTAGTCTAGTGTGTATTTAAGTAAAAAAAATGTGTGGGGTCTTACCACAAGATTTTTGAGAGTTTCTTTCGGATGGCATGTTACTATCCATAAATTGCTTTGATATGGTGCTCATTCGTAGGGCTTTATTCCTTGATAAAGGTTTACAAGGGTTTCCACAATGTAAATCTTTTCCAGGACAAGGAGGCGATACGTCGTTCTGGGCATATATGATCATTTCCAGCCGCGTTCCCGATGGCATTTCTTCTGAAATTGTTCAATATTATAAACAACACAATTTTTTTTCATGTTCAACTGCTATTTACACTGAGTGTTTGTGCATTCATCTTTTTGAATTTGTATTTGGCACTCCATTATATTTTAAATGGACCTTTATACAAAGCATTATGAATAAAATAGATACCTACAACGGAATTGCGAATAAATATTTGTCTACCTTTCACACAGGAATGTAATTTGAAAGAACCCCCGATTTTTTCACTTTTTTTTCAATTCGAGTAGTAGAATAAAAGGTATTAATTTTCGATCAATTTGATTTTTTAAAATATCTTAATAATAAAAGTCTTATTTTTAAATTATTTGTTAAATTTGCCGCTCCCAGCACAAACTAAAAACAAAAACATTGTGCTTTTACTTCGTTTTCCAGAATAATAACTTTCTTATTATCAATTATTTAAGTGTTGTATCGTTACATTAATTTCGCTGTATTTGTTAGGATTTGCTTAAATTAGTGTCTTGGATATTCGAACAACTGACTCCGGATATAAATTGAAACTAATGGACTTCAATTGGCATCAATAAAGCATATAAAGTTAGAAACGAATAGTTTGGGCGGTTTGAGCAGACTAAACTGCCTTAGAATTCGATATTTTCTATAACATATAATTGATTTAACACCTTTTTTGGACACCCTGCATGGTCAAAATCAATTTTGAAATGCGACTCTCTTAAAAATCCATGTGACCAAAAATATCAAGCAGAAGTGGGTTTGGAAACGATTATTGGTGCCCTTGCGAGAGAAATTCTCGAATATTTCGGGGCACTGATGCCTTGAAATAACCCGACTTCTCTGTCACTACACACAAAACACACTGGTTGAGTTGAATAAAGTTCACATTACACTCTATTCCCACAATTACATCAACATTATTTATCACGCTAGCAGATTATTTAGGTTTGCTGGTAAACACTGATCTTTTCACTGTTGGATCATGAATCCTGTCCCTGATGATGAGCTGGCCTAGGCGCGAAATCGCGTCTTGGTACTCTGATGCCCCCGCAGTCATGGAAGAAAGGGCTCCTTTGCAGCTCCCAACTGAAAATTACGGACGCGGGATCAAAACTCCAAAGAGCAACCAAACGAATTTACCACAGTATGCCGCTTCTTTCGATTTGTAAATTCCTCCGCATGGTTGTCCGGATTTAGCGCCTCCGCTACCAGTTACTCGAGATTTGGTGTACATTTTACAAACATCTCCTGGAAGAATCACCGGTTCTGGGCAGGGTGGCAGGCCGTCCACTCCTGCAGCCCTTAAGAGCTCATCGTAGGGAGCTGAGGGATACTCGTCTACAAAACCGCAATTTTTCAAATTGAAATGAACGAATCAACGATCAAAAGTTGAAAACTGAGGAATAATTATATGCGACTTGGTTGAGCTGATAAACCACCCAAAAAAACTTACTCAAGAGCAGAATTTAACTTGAATAAAAAAGGTGTAGCAAAAGTGAAACAAAGCAAATCAGTAGAAACTGATTAACAATCAGGACAATGTGGAAATTGAAGCTTGCGAACTGTTTCAGGTAGCAGAAATACGCATTGACCCGTTCTCTATTTTTTATCGAACGTCGAAGTAAACAAAAAAAAGAAAATACATGCTATACTTACAGGGAGAAAAAGGCCTTAAAATACCGCGTGATTTAGCACTGATCTAATTTCTGAGGTAAAACTGAGGTTTTTTTATTTGAGGATATTTAGAAGTACAGAAAAGTTAGTAAAAACATATAATCCTCACAAAAGTGAAAAAATATGGAAAAAACCATCATAAATTGGCAGTGTATTTAAGAAATGCAATAAAAAAAATTGCGTTGGAAAAGTTACCAAAGCAATGATATAAATATCTCCACTTCAATGCTTACTCTTATTACACAAATTTTACCACAAAACTGCACAATTTATCACAGAACCGTGGAACTACTAGAGTTTGATGGATTCCTCGCGTCCGTGACCCGAAAATGATGGAAAATTTAAGACATTTTGAGAAATTGGAAAAATTTCGGCCAAAAATCAAAATTTTACCCGCGTGTTTTTTGAGCTCCTTTCTTCGACGTAAGGTGACAAATATGCATTCATAAAGTGTTTGGGCCAATAATAAGGAAGAAATCATCGGTTAAAGATCGTGAACGCTCAAAAAATGCTTAAAATGTGTCGGAAATTTCTATTCTTTTGAAACTGAAACTCCTAGCATGTTTTTCAATAAGTTCGATAAATTCCTCGGGTCCGTGAGCTGAAAATGATGTAAAATTTAAGACAAACATTTTAAGAAAATTTTAATTTTTCCAAAAAACTGACCTCCAAATATGCATTTATAAAGTGTTTGGGTCAATAATAAGGAATAAATCGTCAGTTAAAGATCGTGAACGCTAAAATGTGCCGAAAATGTCTATTATTTCGGATCTGAAACTTCTAGCATGTTTGTCAATGCGTTACATGAATTCCTCGCTTCCGTAAGCTGAAAATGATGTAAAATTTAAGACATTTTAAGAAATATTGAATTTTTTAAAAAATCTACCTCCACCCTTGGAAAAGTTTTGGACAAAAAACAAAATTTCACATGCCTGTTTTTGAGCTCAATCGATTTCTTCCGACGTGAAAAGGTCGCAAATATGCATTTATAAAGTGTTTGGGTCAATAATAAGAAAGAAATCGTCGGTTAAAGATCGTGAACGCTCAAAAAATGCTTAAAATGTGTCGGAAATTTCTATTCTTTTGAAACTGAAACTCCTAGTGCCGAAAATGTGCCGAAAATGTCTATTATTTCAAATCTGAGCCTTCTCGCATGTTTTTCAATGAGTTCGATGCATTAATTAAAATTAATTAAACCCCCAGGATGGTCCCTGCCCATCCAGCTCTGGATCTAGGGGCGGGGGGGCTGTAGCCCCGAGCCTCACCATGTCGGGGGCCTCGGTAAGCTCTAGTATAAAATAAAAAAATGCCTCTGCAGGGATCGTAGTCCCGGGCCCTACCAGAGGTACCCGGCCCGGATAGAGTAATGTGGAACACGTGTGAAAAAAACGACAGAGTTTGAAGCCACTCCTGGAGAAGAAGTTACGAATAAGAAAATGCGAAAATTGAACAAAGCAGCGAAAATAACAATGAAGTCATGTAGGGGCAGTTTCATGTGGGAACAATTCCTTCCTGATTATTTGAAAAAGGAATGATTTCAAAACCATTGAAACTGAGATGTTACAGAACTTGGGTGAAATATAACATTAATCCAAACTGTTCCAAATGGTCCAGTTTCCAGAACTGCAACTTTAGAGACGAATAAAAAGTTTTCTTTGTAAATTCAATAATAATAAAACAAACACCAAAAGAACAATCACTTCTAACGACCGAAATTGAATGCTTCTTTTTACACTTTTTACCTAATTCATGCTAAAATACTTCTACTCAACTTACTCATTTTGCAAAAATCAACTTGATAAGTACTCCTCAGTCGATCTCTGTTGATCCTGGCCAGCAGATCATCTGGAGGAGCCGTTCGCAAGCATTCGTATATAAAAGGGTACTTTTCTTGGAGCTAAAACCGCACGTTAAGAATCAAGTACTAAAGTGAGTACGTTGATCAAACCTTTGCAAGGAACACGTTGGGCTGATTGAAGCGACTGATTTGCGTCTCGGGAGCCGAAGACACTTTGGCCGGATAAATCTTTGGGTCCAAAAGAGGTCCCATAGGCCCCACTCGGCTCCAGGATTCTTCTTCATACGCTTGGGGCCCTAAAAGAGAGCACAACTGCTGGTTGGTGGCTTGTGGATCTCCAATGGCGTGGCATTCGCAAGGGTAGTTGGGCCTATTCGGGTCATTGTATTGGGGTTGATACAGTCGATCTGGTTGAGGCCTAGAGTGGTTGTTCTTTGATGGAATTGAGCAGGGTTTTTATTGGGTAATGATTCACCTGACGCCCAGAGTTTTCACATATGGCCACAAGTAGTCTTTTCTATAGGTGGTGACGAATTGGTCCATGACCATTTTGGGAGCGTAATGAGTACTCACAGGAAATTTGAAAAATTGGGAAAAATTTTGTGGAGTTTTTTTATTGTGTCATTGATGACATTAATTAATAAACCTTTATTTTACTATCGTACACCTGGCGTCTAAAATTTTTCCTGGTTAAGAAATTCATAGGCAAATAGGGCTTGATTACAATTTCACAGGGTTAAACAAAAATCAAAGTAATTTGCTTATTAACATTGACATCGTAACTATCAATTTCCGTCCGCACACAGATATCGGCCCTGTTATATCCTTGAGCGTGCAGATCGTAAGACGTATCTCGGACTTCCAGGCGAATTCGATGTCCAAAATGCTTATTCAGTTCGGGAATACACACTTTAGTGCCATACGGAATGCTCAATTGGTTGTCCATGCTCAATGTTACGTACTCAGTTCTATCATCCAAGTAATCCTGCACATAACAATCGAAATATACTGGATGTTTTAGCTATACAGGGTGATTCAAATTTGGCGTCATTCCTTTTAAGGGGTAATGAGGGGAAATTTGTTTCGATAATTTTCTAGAAGATTTTAACAGTTGAAAATAGAAATTCAATTTTGTTATTAAGCATTATTTTGAAAGTGTTCCATGTTTAATTGGCAGAATATTGAAATACTTAAGCATTAAAATTTGCTTCAAATTACGAAAATTTTTGATATTAAAAAAGTTCTCTTCTAAAATTTTTTGATGCAAAGTCAAAGCGGCAATGGTTTTTTTTGTCATCAACAGATAGTTACAAGCGGACACCCCTTGTCAATAATAACAATATTTTGTCAAACTGTGACTTACTTTGAACTTCTTTTCACGAATTTCCGGATATGCGATTAGTTCAGGGGAAATGCTACAGTAACATAGCTAAAACTGAAAGAACTCACGCCAACAAAGGGCGAGGAGCGTGGCTCCAGGAAGATAGTGGACGACAATAGATGTTCGGGTTACAGAGACAGAAGAGCAAGTATTGGACATAATTGCAGAAGGGCCTTTCAGGGGCACTCAGAACATTGTACAACAACTGACACTTTCCCAGGCACCAAATAAATGCCGGCTACATCCCTACCATGTATGTAAGATCACATTAAATCAATGAATAACTGAACACCGGTATAAATTGAGCAGGAGATAATTAACCGAATACGAGAAGCTGCTCGAGAAGAGTGCATAATAAGGTGATTACACAGGCACTTGTTTGGAGTTACAGACTCAAATGTATGTTTTTCTAATTTGTAAACAAATGAATAACTCGAGGATATGAGTTTTGAAACAGGTTCCGTCATTCAACGATTCCTGTTGAATTTACCGTATATCCTTGTCTATCTTACTGTCACTTTCTGCATAATTCCATGGTTACCGGAGTTTTAAATAATTATGAAGCCACAGGTATTTACGTAATGTTGATAAGGCAGATTACCTTGAAAAACATTGTTGCCGTTTTTCTAATATCGTTTTTTACAAATTTCTCAGTTTTCAATAACAATTATTTTTTTTACTATTATTTCGATACTCCTGAAACACCGCCAGACAACACCTCCAGAGGAAGGACGCCAATTTTAAATCACCCTGTATAAACTAACTAAACTAAACTAATTTTTATAAATAAAATTTGCAAACTTTTCATTGCATTTGCGAACTCTTTCTTGAATTCATTTAGATGGTAAACTTAGTTGCTGCAAAAATAATAATAAATTGTGTGTATTAATTTTCACGCTAAATGCGGAAAAATAATGAAACTAGTATTCATAGAGGCAAATTTCTCGAGGGTGTTAATGGGTTAATTCAAATGACCAATTGGCAAAAATCAGATCCACGAGTCGCCTAATTTATTTGAAACATTCTGCAATTTTTTTATGGATGTTTCATACATCTTTCCTATTTAAAAAATGTTTTTTTTATTTTACCTGCAAAGTTCTTAGCTTTCTGCCTTTTTTGTCCTGATAACCAAATTCGTTATCAGAATCGGTGTAGTCGGGAAAATAAGCCGTGAGAGTCACGTTGTGGAATGTTTTTCCTTTGCATGTTAAATCCAAATCTGAAACGAACGTTTCAGCTTGAGCAAAGCTAGATGTTGTGCCCAGTGAAACAACACAACCAAAAAAATGTTTGGAGGACGCAATTTGCATTAATTATAGTTTTTTTGGACTCAGCCCGAACATTTATACCATACGGTGTAAAAAACGCACTTTTGAGGAATACAGTACTGGTCGTGTACGTGTTCTTCAGAGTTTCTTACATTAATTTACCTCAATTTAAACGAGTAGCGGGAAATCTTACGAGGTCTTCGTTACTTCACTTGGTATTACTATTTTACAAACATATTTAGAATTTGGAGTAGATTTTAAAAATGTAATAATATACATATTCCATTTGAAAGAAGCAAGTTGATACCTACTTCCGGTATAACCAGAACTAGGCCTGGGTTACTCAATGAATTTTTAGGAGTTAGCGCAGTGCCACGCAAATGGCTTGGTGCGCCAACCCAACGCACCGGCGCAGTAACTCAGTTTTGCTGCTGGAAAAATGTTGATGACTCTTTTTACTTGTTTTTATATCTATTTTAAGGGCTACTTGTAAAATAATATTTTGAACGTTTTAGCAAAGTTACTCTTGTTTCTAAATGCTCAATTTTTTAAAGATTCACTTAAAAATTTTGACAATCTTGAGGTATTTTTCGTGAAAAATTATGAAAAACATTTTATTAGAACAATTCGAATCCTTCGTCGCTTTATAAAAAGTTTTGAAATCCCTTTCCAGCTTCAAATTCGGTACAAAAATCACATAGTTTTCTATCAAAAAACGAACTCAATAAGCAAAAGTTTATAATAAATTATTTGGAAAACTCGTGACTTTTTTTTTCTTGAATTTCTCTGAAAACTGTGGAGTTTGTTTAAAAAATGTGGTTATTTCGTTTTGAATAAATCTTTTTTGCTCTGCTTTTCACTGAAAAACGCTCTATTTTGTAGACTTTTACTTAAAAACACTAATAATCCGGATGTATTTTACCCGAAAAATTACAAGATAAATTTATAGCTTTTTAAGAATTTTACAAAAATTTTTTATGAAGTCGAATTTGGGGACAAAAACGAAAATAAATTTATCCTGTTTTTCCCCGAAAAGTATTAAGGTTTTCGAGAAAACCGGTCACAGAACGGAAACAAACTGAAAAACTTTTTAATCAAAAACGCAAAAAAAAATAATTTTCTGACAATAATGGGGTCTTTGCAGCCAAAAATGACATTCATTCATTCATTTTGCTAGAAAATTTGCCTCATTCATCGGTTTACAGGGAACTTTAGAAAACCCTTTTCAGCTTCGAATTTGGCACAAAAACCAAATAATTTTAATCACTTTTTCGCCGAAAGTAATTAAGATTATCTTGAAAAAACAGCCAGAGAGCAAAAGTTTAAATAAATAATTAGGAAAATTCATTCATCACTGAATATTTTTAAAGTTTCTATTAAATTTCAGGTCATTCCAGTTTTAGCAGTTTTTTTAAGTATTTCTCTCTACGCAAAAAACGCATTATTTTCTAGTTTTTCTTAAAAATACTGACAATCTTCAGGTATTTTCCGGAAAATTCTTGGAAAATTCATATCGCTCTGAAGATTTTTCAAGTTTCTTTAAAATTTTCAGGTCATTCCAGTTTCAGCAAAGTTTCTATTAAGCAAATTCTTTCTACGCAAAAAACGTATTATTTTTCGTTTTAATTAAACTACAGACAATCTTCAGGTAATTTTTGTGAAAATTATCGGCGAAAATTAAAAAACAATCGGCTCCTGAACAGCTTTGTAATTTTTTTTCCGTAACCTTTTGCAGCATCGAATTTTGAACAAAACCCTAATAATTTTTCCTGGATTTTTTTCCAAAAAAATATTTTCCCGAACAGAACAAGTGAAAGTTTATAATCAATTATTTGGAAAACTCGTCACTTTTGTTGCTGTGAATAATTTGGTTCATTTAAATTCCGGTTTCTTCACTTTTAGGTCAATATTTCTAAACAAAACTCTCTCTAAACTGAACAACGCGTTTTTTCCTAATGTGTTGCAGTAAAATACTGGCAAACTGAAAGTCTTTTATTCAAAAAAGTTAAAAGATGGATTTTACAGGAAGAGTCGTTGTCTTTACAGTTTAGTCTTCTTTATCGCCTTTTTCTAATACCCGTTTTAGCTTTGAATTTGGGACAAAATCGAAAAAAGTTATCTTGTTTTTTTCGACAAAATTTAAGTTTTTCCAAAAACCGACCATAGAAAGTATAATCAATATTTGGAGAACGCGTCATCCTCATCGCCGAGAAATTTTTTAAAGTTTCTGTAAAATCTTCGGATTTTCCCGTTTTGGACCAAATAGTTTCAAGCAATCGTATGCGCAAAGGCGATATTTTGATGGCTTTTTTTTGTTAGATGCTAAAATTCCGCCACCGGCCATGAGTTGTAACTCATTAAGTCAGAGAGCGGCAACAACTCAAAAGCGCAACTCAAAACAGTGTTATCCAGGCCTAACCGGAAGTGTGGCAATCTTGACAATTTTTAAATCGCTTGCCCGCAATGACTTCGACAAACTGTTCAATTTTCTCCTAATTATAGTTTGCTAGATATCGATCGCGGCGGTTCCCGGCAGTTCCCGGAGGGTGATTTACGTAGACCGTGCATTAGAAGTTTTCCAACTTTACTGTTGTGGAAACTTCTAACTTAACCACGTAAAGTACATTTAGCCCTCTAGCTGTAGAGGGTCTTCTGTTGGAAAACTGTAAGCTAACTTTCTTATTTTAAATCAAGTATGATTTATTTCAATCAACTTACCTTCGTCAAATAAGGAGACCGAATTTTTCACTAACAAGCTAAAAAACAAAGCAAAAATTCCCATTAACATTGTCAATTTTTAAAATTGTATCTGTAGGTGGTTTCAAACGTGAATAGTGTGTTCAATGTTGTATATCAATTAATCGTTTTTGCTGGCTCCGCTAAATTATTGAGTAATCCACTGTTCTGCAGTTATTTGTTATTAATTATTGTTACAGTGGAGTAGTCAAAATTTGTTCCCTAAGGCGAAAAGTATTAATTTTTTTATGAGAATCGCGGCCTATAAAAAAGTTTGCCTTCTAAACATTGGTGATAATGATAAGCTATTATAAAGAGTACATTTGCGAACGTTTTTTTACCTCATCATAAAGTAATTTTGCACTCTCGTTTAGTAAACAGCTGCTAAACTTCACGCATTTTTTTCAATATATGGAAAAGTAACAAAACACAGACAAAACACATAAATTATTTGTATTTACAAAATTCTCCGCCGCGCTCACATAGTCAAAACCTGCTGGGCAAAACTTTCTCCCTTACATGAACAATGTAGTTCAACCCCTCAAAAAAATTCTTCATTCTGCCACTTTCTCTCAAGTAGTTATTGTGCCTCCAACTTTCACCTTGTGGTCCCTGTTTATCATTACGTCTGTGCTGTTGCCCAATCTCCCTCTTCTTGGAATAATACAGGCTTAGATCTGGATAACCTGCTTGTCCCTGGTATTTTCCAGGAGATTGGTAATGCAGAAAACTAACAGCGGTACTACCGGGAGTGATCGGAACGCTTACAGAACCGTACGAAGTCTGGCCAACGTGTTCATTTGGGTCCCTGGATCTGGGACCCTTCCAAAACGGTCTAGGATGAGCGTATTTGCCATGGGTTGCTTCAGGCGATTTTTCAAAGTAGTTGAGTTTCTTGGGCAGTATCCAGGTTTTGATCACATGGCGACTTCCTTTAGGGTTCCAGGAGTTGAACTTTTTTATTGGATGTGCAGTTTTATAATATTCCCAACTGGTTTGCTTCGGCGTGGTCATTGGAAGTTGCTTCCAGTTCCAAGAGGAAACTTCGGGATGAGGCCAAGAAGCGCTTTTAGGTGATTCGTGGCTTTGTAAGTGAAGCTCGTAGACTGCAGGAACTTTTACCACTTGATGCACCTTTGTGCTTCCCTGGATGAGTTTGCTGATGAGTTCTTGCAGTTCATTAACACTGGGCTTGTTCGGATCATGGAGAATCTCGTTCACTTTATATCCTGGGGGGATCGTATCGATCCGCTTGTTCGACTCCATGGAAGCTGGGTGAGGAGCAAAAGTAGCAGGGTTGAAGCTTCCGTAAATTATGTCCTCCCTTCCATAAGGACGTTCTGTTAGTGGAGAAGATCCAAATTGGCTGAGTCCTCTGGACGTTTGTCTTGGTGGGCTGGGCGTGACCGCATTGTTCACGTAAATTTCAGGATTTTTTGGCAAATGGCTTTCATTCGGCTCTAACTGCCCAGTCCAGGCACTAGCAGTAGGCAGAAATTCATGCCATGCACTTGTTGTGTCTCCGATTTGCCCCCGAGCTGTTTGAAGGGGCTTTTGTTTCTCCGATTGGACGCCGTAATTCGCACTGACCACAAAACTACTCGCTTCACTTGAGGATGCACTAGTTGAAACCATAAAATGAATCTGGAAAAAACACCATGTAAATTAACTAAAACATTACAACGCCCCGAAGTTCTGAGTGTACTTACAAGAAACCCGCAGGTAAAATGCGGCAAAAATCTCTGCATTTTCACGAATTTACTGCCAATTAAGGCAGCAAGTATCAAATAGCGTAAATACGGCCAAGCACCGATATTTATACTAAAAACAACGAATTATTTGGTTTTGGTACTTTCACAAGGCTCTAATTGCTGAGCACGCTGGAGCGTATAAGTTCATCAGTGGTCGCATAAAATTCAGCACATAATTAATAAGTTTTTAAATTGGATTTAGTAGAAGGCGCCTTAATTAGTATTTCTGTGCAAAGTGTTTTTTAATGCAAAATGATTTCTAGGCGTATTTTGTTTCTAGCGTTAGACAGCAACTTTTGCAAATTTTGACTGTGTCTGCATATGAAACGCAGGAAAAATTCGTCTTCTATTTCTTCCTCTTTAAATACAGAGAGGATGAGTCTAAGTTGTGGTCCTTCTGCAGCTTGGTTATTGTCGATTGAAGGCAAAAGTTATATGGTTTTGATTTTTTTATAGTCTGGCTTATTTGCTACTTCTCAGCAGGTTTTGTGGTCCAACGGTTAGAAAGTTCATACAGAACTTAACAGATGTGTCCAAAGTGTGCTGTGTTTGAATAGATAGCCAAATCTGCCTGAATTACTCGAAATTAACAAACTCGATAAAAGTTCGTTTTTTGTGTGAAAACTATTCATGCTTCTCAAATGATGTTTAACGTGGTAAATGTGCGCTTTAATTTTCAATCCAGTAGTGTAAAAATGAGTGCGCTAGCTCAATTTGAGCCATTACTTGCGTTTTGTGTGAGAGCAAAACCGCGTTATTTACGTTTTGTGTGAAAACTGCCAATATTTCTCATGTAATGTTTTCCTTGATGAGTGTGTTATTTAATGTTCTATCCAGTGGTGTAAAAATACGCGTGCCAGCTCAATTTAATCCGGAGATATGAGCAGGAACGTGGCGTCATGTTTGAATCGTTGGCTTCTTGAAATTTCGCTCTGCTTGCAAATTCCTATATTTTATATCTCAACCGCCTCTTATTAATGGGGCTCTTAATTTTCTATATAGTAGTAGGAAAACGAGTGTTGCAAATTGCAAAAATTCAGCGTCGTGTATGAGCCGATTGCCCAAATCGCAAAAATCATCAATTGTATTTAAAACCTGTTTCATTCGGTTTTCCACCAACTACAGATTGTTTGAGAAAAGTCAGAAACAATAATGTTTTGTTGAATAGACTTCAGACAAAGAATTCTAATAGAGAATTTCCTATATGAAGTGTTGGCATAAAACCCTCAAATCCCAACTTAATCGTTTTAGAAGCATTTAGAAAATTAATAAATCATTTGCACAGATTTGCTTAGAAAAATAGGTTTTTACGAAATTACCAGCCGTTAAGAAAGTAATTAATCATAACGGCCAATGAGATAATGAAAACTACCATTAAAGGTAAACAATTCAAGAACATCTGCCTTTATACCAGAAAGCGTACCAAATAATGGTAAAAGTAACACTCTTGCTTCCAATTAATGGAATTGTGGCATTACAAGCCAGATTAAGAAGTACATTAATTCCTTTACTAATGTGTTTGAATTATTCAGCAAATCGGGCTGTTGAGTTTAGAATGGGTTACTTTATAGTAGCTAGATGATTCTTACGAAAATTATTTCAAGTGTATTCGAAGTATATGTCTGCATTCTTGATATTTTTTCAGCAAATTACTATTTAAAGTGGACTGAAAGTTACGTATATTTATATATATTTTGTATTTTAAATTATGCGTATTTTTGCTGTAGATATTTAGAGAATAACTTGCAAAAGTGCGTTACTTACAAAAGAACTTAAAAAAATCTGTACTTGCACTACCAATTGGAAGTTACGGGTGTTTCTTAAAATGAACTTTTGGTACAATAAGTTATTCACTTTGCATTACTACTCAAATGTATGAAGTTTTTATTGAAAATCGAATAACTTTATCTGAAAAGTATCCCTTTTCCAATAGCTAAGCCCAAAATAATGAGAAACAAGGTCCCTGATTGATTAAAAATAGAAACTTTTCCTAAATATTTGGCACAATAAAGACATGAACTGGATTTAACATTATAAATCTCTTGTGTAACCCTCGTTGAGAGCTGTTAAATGGAAAGCGTTGATATTACATCATAGTCAGTAGAAATAGGTGGGCATCTGGATCATAGATAAAGACAAGTAGATCTGGATCAAGTGAAACGGTCTTGCAGATCTGGAGGTTTAAATCTTTTAAGCCTTCTGTTGATATGGCCACCGAGTAGTTCAATGGCGAGGATATTTGGGTGTTCTTTTGTGAGATCTTGGTACTTGATCGAAAACTTGACAATTTCTTCGCGGACCCATGGAACATGCAGGTCAGACTGGATTGTTGACGTATCAGGGACTTCTCACAAGGTATCGTAGTGTTTTTGCCTGGAGCCTTTGCAGAATTTCTATGTTTGATTTACTGGCAGTACCCCACAGCTGAATGCCGTACGTTCACATAGGCTTCAGAATTACTTTGTACAAAAGTACTTTGTTGTATAGGCTTAATTGTGATTTTTGATTTGTCAGTCAGTACATCTTCTTAAACTTTAAGTTTAGTTCTTTGCGCTTAACGCATCTTGAGGTATTGGAATTCCATTTAATGTAACTGGCGGGCAGTCGCCTTTTTGCATGGAGTAGGTTACATTTTTTAATTTCTTTTCGGTAACTGCCATTCTCCACTTAGAGAGCCAGTCTTCAATTTTATTTAGTTGGGGTTGCTTTGCATGGCTACGGAAGCTTGGACCGGGTTTTTATGTGTGGTCATGAACGCAGTATAGTCAGCGAATGTTGAGATAAATCCATCTGCAGGTATGTCAGCAGTGAACAAGTTGTAGAGTGTTGGTCCAAGACCTGAGCCTTGGGCCACTTCCGCCGTTATATCTCGCAACTTACATAGAGATTGATTTACTCTGACTTGAAACATGCGTTCGGTCAAGCATTATTTGAGTAAGTCGAAAAACTGTGGCAAGTCAGTTTTTATTTTGAATAGGAGTTCTGAATGCCACACCCGGTCGAAAGCTTGTTTAACGTCTAGAAATACTCCACAACCGTAAAGTTTATTCTCTAGACATTCGGATATTTGACTAGTAAGTGTGGATCTGCTCAATTGCTGAGTGCCTATATCGGAAGCCAAACTGGTGGTTTTGTATCAGACCGTTTTCGTGAATTGTTAGTGTTAGGCGTTTCAGAAGCAGTCTTTCAAATACTTTGGACAACTGAGGTAAATGGCTAATAGGTTGGTAAGAGGTCGTAAGAAGTCGGTAAGACAGTCGGCATTTTCAGGTGGTTTGCCAGCCTTTGGGATCATCAATATGTGGGCCACTTTCCACTGTGATGGGAAACAAGAGGTGCAAACTTTGGAGTTAAATAGTGTTGTTATGTGCAGCAAAGCTTTTCGTGGAAGATGCTTAAATATTTTTGCCGATAATAAGTTGTAGCCTGTAGCCTTGTTTGTCTTCATTGCCTTGATTTAAGAGCGTACCTCAGTTGTAAAGTATGTAAAGTTGTATGTAAAGTGTTTGATGGGTTTGTGCATGGGCAGAGGAGAGGCAAAGAAGTCTTCGATTTCCTCTGACCAGTCGTCGACTCCAGTTATGGGATTTGAAGTGAACACGTCCGTAAGATGGTCAGCAAATACTTCGGCGCTGTCCTGGTCGCTTCTGGCTCATTTATTGGTTGTTCTTATAGGTGACGATTGGTTTTAGGTTGTTTAAGTGATTTGGTTGCTCTTCAGAGTGAGTAATTTATATCTGCGGTGGAAGCGAGGTTCTTAAAGAAAACTTCAAATGTATCGTTTCTAGCGGTATGATTGCCAGATTCTGCAAATTCTGCTTTTTTCTCTGACTTTTATGATAATTTCTTGGGAATAGTTTAATTCGCTGTTTACAGGCTGTTCGTCTAGAGTGGGAGTTGCTTTCATTGCAGCTTCATGTAATAACATAGTTAAGTTTTCTGTTGCCGCGTCGATGTAATGTTGTGTTTTCAAGGGATTTTTTGATTAATGTTTTCATCAATGAAGCTTCTGAATGAATTCTGGTCGGTTCTGTGGTTATAGAGGCGTGATAGCTGGATTTTGGTTAGTATTTGAGTGCTGAGGGTTAAAAGTACAGCTGAGTGATCAAAATAGAGTTGAAGGGTTGACTCTAGTCGAGAATAACTGTTGTTATATTCAGAAGCGACAAAGAAGTCCAGCAGGTCCGGAATTTTGGCGTGGTCAGACTGCCAATACGTCGGTTCTCCGGTAGAGAGGATGCTGTAGTTTTCTTCTTCAATTTCTTTTTGAAGAGTTCTCCCACGAAATGTTATAAGTCTTGAGCCCCATGCGGTATGTTTCGCATTATAGTCGCCACCAGCAACAAACCTGTGCTCTAATTTTTTGAAGAAGTTTTTTAGCAGATCAGCTTTCAGTGAGTGTATTGGGGGACAATACACCGCGGAAACTACAAAAGATCCATTAGTACCCTCAACTTTCACATTAGTAGCTTGGAAAAAATCTTCATTGAACTTCTCAAGCTCGTGGTGTTTGATGCTGGACTTAATCAGAACTGCCGATCCGCCACATGCCCTGCCATCGGTATGTGGGGTACTGTAGGTCTCATATCCACGAATTTTAAAGTATGATTGATCAGTCAGAGATGGCTTTCGGAGACTAGTATTATATCTATACTCTGAGATGATAAGTATTGTTTCAATTCTAGTTTACGCTGAATGAGCCCATTGGTGTTCCAGAGTAGTAAATTACAGATTCTATCAGCCATTTGCACTAACTTCTTGASTAGTGTTGCTAGTAAATTGATGAGGGATGACAACKGCTTGGCTTGCTTCATCATAGCAGCTTCTAGTTTGGCAAAGGATTGAGAAATAATAATGAAAATTTGGTCGGGTGAAGAGCTATTCTGGTTAATGTTTTCAGTAACKTGGACGTAGGTTCTCGYGGAAGTAGCTGGAGMTGCTGTTTGCTCAGAACTAGTATGCGTTTGGCYAGAGTTGCTGTTCAGTAGATTTTTGCTAAATTCATGGGGTTGSTTTGATGTCGGCCTTGAAGTACCGGGGGAATAATGGCTTTTCCCTTATCTCTTGGAATACAGTCCAACCTTTATAATTTGCTGGGTGATTRCCGCCACATAGTACGCATTTTGCTGGAGTGTTTTTATTTTTAGCACATTTGGCAGTTTCATGGTCTCCTCCTCATTTGACGCAACGATAGGACCTGTTGCAGTACTCTTTGATGTATCCATATCTCTGACATCTTATGCATTGAACCACACACTTCTGTTTTCTTGGAGGTTCGATATTAGTTTCTGAACCCAAGAGTCGCTTTAGTTTGTAGATTTCCTGGTTGGTGCCATGTGGTTCTAAGTCAACAAAGAAAAAAGGTGTGTTATATTTAGTAACCCTGGGTCTGATATTAGAGATGTTTCGAACTAAATAGCCTACTTCTCTAACCCAGTTTTAATATCTTCGACTGGCGTTGTCGGGTGCATGTTGCGAATGACAATTTATTGTCCATTTTTGTTATTAAAAAATTAAAATATTTCTAAAAAATATGGTTGAGTCAGTGTTAATTTTGATTTGGTTTTTGTTGGCAGTTTTGTAGGTGAGCTCTCCTGGTAGCTGCAAGTTACGTAGTCCTTCTTATAGTTTTGTGATGCTAGAAACATCAGGAATGTAGATGGGGGTGGATTTGGATCTTTTCGTTTAGCACCGGAGGTGTCTTCAGCTTCTTGCCCGTTTAATATTTGGGACTGATTGCTCAGAGATATGTTTGAGTGCCATTACTTGTTGGTTTCTTCGGTAGGACTATTGGGGTTAGATCTCTGACGCTTGCTTGTTTAAACTGTTTGCCATCCATTTACTTCCGAGTCGGTTACTTTCAATGGAGATACTTGAGATGCACAAGTGTGTAATGCGTTGTCGGCTGATGTTTGTGGTGTAAGGTTGAAATCTCTTTCATTTCTTTCCATATTCAATTAAGCTACTAAACTGAATCGTTTAGTTGGTTAAAACGCCAGAATCAGTGTGGCTTATCACCGTGGAAGCGTAAAAAACTTTGGAATAGTTGTGTTAAAATGGATAAAGAATAGCAATTTGCAGAATGCACTGGAGCACTAGCACGGCCTATCGATCCACTGGTCGATAGACAAATGATTTGAGCTGAACAGCAATTTATAATATGAATAATAATTTTATGAGCAGTTAAATGCAAAATAAAGTTTACAACATATCTTCAGTATTTCCTCGTAAAGCGAAAGGATTTTAAATGCTAAAGGGATTTTTAATATCATTTGTAAAATTGAAAGTAAAACGTTCTAAATTATATAATTATTTTAATAATGTCTAGTCCATATAGCCTCTTTTTGAGGTGTGCTTTCTTATAGTCACACTTTTAGGTGATATATTTTGTTTTATCCGAAATAGTAGCAAAAAACGTTTGTTTTGTGCATTTGCTCAATTATTATAGACGATTAACGCCAGTTAAGACTCCATAAACTGAAAAAATTTAAATATGTTTTCAGTTATATTTTTTTCGAGTTACAGTGTCAGTTTGCTTTATACTGAGTTCAGAACTCTGTTAAAATCAAATAAAAAGCGACATCGTTGTAGAAGAACCAGAACTATTGCTTACTTTATACTTTCTCTTGTGTTGGCTACCAAAAGCGGTCGTATTATGTTGATATGGTACAACCTTCCATTCCTATAGATGTCTATAATGTTCGAGTTTAATAATTTTATATACGGGTTGTTATATGTTAAAGGATCCTTGACGGAATTCCCGGATTTTCCGATAAAAAATTATGTTGTCTTGTTCTGTCTTTATTTTTTTTATTATAAAATTTGTATATGGTTTCCAATTCTTTCAAAGCCATTAAAGTTTATGAAACAGCACTTTTATTTATAAGTGCGCACTTGTAAATGTGGCTCAAACAGTCCGCAAAACTTAAAAGAAAACGACAAACACAAATAAAGTTTTTTTGAAACGCAACATTTTCTATACAATTAGAAAATATGGGTACATTTTTTGAACTTTTTAGCAGAGAAATCGTAATTTTTTTTAAATGCAGATCTTTTACTTGGATTTTCTAAAGAAAAACTTTAAAACTTAGCAGAGAGAATATTTTCTATTTTATTATTTATGCAAACATACATACTTTTGGACATCTGTTTATAAAACCTTTTTGCTTAAAAAGAATTCAGAAAAGTTTGTTTTACCTATCACACACTCGTCACGACTGATCAGTGGTAATTCTGATCTTTACCAATTATTAATTAATTAACATTGTTTTCAAAGGGCATTTAGTCTTGGATAGTACTAGAAAGCATATTTTTCAAAAGCAAAAGTAATTTAGCCAAATCAATGCTGTTTCCCTCATCATTTTTTAAAAGTTCCAAAGACACACGATAGTCTCGTGACTAGCACGAGCTCTTTAACCTGGAGAAAGTTCACGTGCAGGAAGGCAGCTTCGACAACTATGTAATCGGTTAAACATCCAGGATTGCATGCACCATTTCCAGTTGATATGAATCTAATTTGTGAAATAATCAATAGTTTGGAAAATCGGGGCTCCTTAGCTCGGTTGACACGCGACAGTTTACTGCACTCTTGTCCATTCAGTTTCCCATTTCTGTTCAATCCAGACATGGCTATGAGTGTCGAGGAAAAGTTGTGGACACTTCAGCAAAAGCTCAAGGTAAATGAAACCACCTAGTATGCGAGTTTCCGACTGATTTTGTTTGTTTATAGGAAACAGATGCTAATTTGTCACTTTGTATAGTTCTACTCCAACAGTACATCAGGCAGGAGAAATGTGAAACAAATTCTTGCGTGAGTACTTTTAGAATATTCTATGTATTTCAATGCCTGCCAGATATATTTTCCCCGATGAAGCAAAATATTGTTTTTACCACTGGATATAAAATTCCCAACTTGAGGCTAATGCAGGAACTAACTGACTAAAATGCGAGCAAAGTCATAAAATCAAGTATTCTTCTCAACTCTCAAAACTTCACAGCTCTGCCAGTTCAAGAGTTTTTAGTTAAAAGTTCAAGTACAAAAAGTACTTTACCAGTAGCTAGTAGCGCGTCGTTGATAAAATGTTGTTTATTTGCGAATTTCCGAAAATGATCTCGAATAATTACGGAAATCAACCTGCTAGCGAACATCAGTTTCCATGCGTTCTATTAATTACTAGATACTATTGCCACACATTTTTTTTACCGAAAACCAGTATTGATGTGGTTACATGATTTAATTTTCCGGTTTTACATAAGTGATCTGATGCACCAAGAATAAACGTTTTTATTTTACAATTTTCCTGGGTTTCCGCCATTTATTACATCTACAAGTTAGTTCTTCAATTTTGAGACGATTGGGTGTTTTCCCACCATCCTCAGTTAATCTAAAGCAGACAAATGCTAACAACTTGTCCATTTAATCCAAGAAACACTTTAAAATTATTAAAAACGAAAGGCAAGGAGTCAGAGAAACAATGTTCGGAAGAATAGGCCAGAATTCAAACACTTTCACCTTTTTAAGAAAGAAAATTATTTTCTGGCACTCTTTGCGTTTGGAAAAATGAAGGGCTTTATAGGAAACTTTGTATTGACAAATACGATCCAGATCAGAACACTTTCAGTTACAAATAACTTCAAAAACCAGAAAAAAGAGGAAAGAAAAAATTACTTTTTAATAAAATTTCTATCTTGGTTCTGTTCTGTTTTTTTAGTTACTTTTTGGATCGAGTTTGAATCTGTATAAATACTATCTACTTTATGCATACTGCTTTGAATTTGCATTTATCTCTTCACATTAAAATTATGGCTGCCTCATATTCCAGTCCTGTTATGTACATTAAATGCTCCTAGACGACTCAATTCTTCGTTTTCTACAATTACATGAATGCATTTATGCGAAACTGTGTATTGTGGGCGTATGTTCTAGGCAAAAATTGCAAAGCATATCAATGTTAGAACTGAGAATGATTTTGAACTGACGCGAATAGGGCCTTTCTAATATTACGTAACAAAAGCACAGCTTAAATATCATATGATATATAAGCTGTGACAAAAGTATAGTAGGAGTTTGCACTGAATGTAAAAAATTATTCAGTAGACACTTCGGTTTAGTAAAGAAAATTACTACTATTAAATTAATTTTTTATAACACTTTTACAGTGCAAAGGCAAGTAAGGACATTCGAAATGGGTGTTTCCAAGAATCCTTAAAATTCAATTATTTTATTTTTATTATACATTGGAGCCAATATTTACATTATTATATACAATATTTACTCTTATATTAAAAGCGAGGAAAGGACATTGGACTAAAAATTATATTATAATACAGCCGAAGGAAAATCTTTTTTCTCTATTGTTAGCTAAACAACTTTGTAGTTGCATCCTTTTTCTTGAGTGTAGAAGAAAATAAATGTTAGTATGGCATAATTTTAAACAATTAATTTAAACCTCAGTTAAGAATAAATCAAATTTTTTACTTACTTTTGTAAGCAATTGTAAAAAGTTTTATAATGATTTGAATCATAGCAACTTTTTAGCTCGAAATTTATAACAACTTTTCTTATCGAGACACAGATTTAAGCGATTTTACTCACCAACTAATATAAATTGTTCCAAAGTTTAAAAAAATGCATTGATTCCTGAAGAGTTTAAAGGAAAATGGATTATAAAACCAGATCTTGGTGGAGGAGTTTTAAAATTAGAGTTTTACATCGTTCCTAAAAATCTACTGAAAATTTATTTAGGAACAATTATTTTGCAATTTGCATCTTGCAATATTACCAACTAGCTAACTTGAGTGTACACATTTTAAGGACTTCGAAAAATAACTGGAGCTCGTAATAAAATGATTTTACGCACAAATCTAGCGTGATTAATTCTCTCGTTACACCAGGAATGACCATGTAGGAATGATTGACGACGAAACAAAGCAGAATAATTTAGTGCAATTTTGAGCCAAATTAGGTTTGATGATTGCAAAATTTTCAAAGATACTCCTAAAGATTTGAAGCAAAAACGAGAGATTATTATCAATAATTATAAACAAAATCTAGACATTTTCAATTATTCAATATTAAATTCTTGAATATCATTCGTGCTTCTGATTCAATGTAATTTCAAAGTTCACTAGTAAAGGTTTGAGGTAAAAACAGACGATTAAACAATTAAGTGAAAGTTCAACGTAAAAAATAAAAATAAAAAGAAACAATTATTTTGAATCTTAAATGTGAACAAATTTCAGTCGGAATTGTTAACAATTCCTCAACTTTCATTGTGATTCCTATTCAAAGCAAGTTCAGCCAAATTTGCTTCTAAAGATCTGAAGCAAAAACTAACGATTAAAGAAGTAAATGCACATGTGAAGCAAGGTTAACAATAATCATAATAACAAACTAAACTTAAAAAAATCGTGATTGTGAACAAATTTCAGCCGGAATTGCTAACAATTCCTGAATATTCTTTGTGCTCGCGATTCAAAGTAATTTCCGCAAAATTTGATTCGAAATATTTTAAGCACAGACAAACGGTTAAAGACGTAAATTTACATGTGGAACAATAACAAATTAAATTTTTTAAATATTAATTGCGAATAAATTTCGGCCGGCATTGTTAGCAATTGCTGAATATTCTGTGTGCTTCTGATTCAAATTAATTTTAGTCGAATTTACATCTAAAGATTTGAATGAAAACCGGACAATACAATAACCGAATGTACATGTAAATGAAGGAAAAAAATATTTGAAAAATCTTGATTTTGAACAAAGTTCAGATGCCTTTGTTAACAGTTCCTGAATATGTTTGGTGATTCCGCTTCAAAGTAGGATGGACCCAATTAAAAGGTAAAATGAATAGGATACATAATTAAAATTAATAAAGGTTTATTAAAAAATAAATACATTTCAAATTCGTGGTTAAAATTTCAGATTCTCATCGTCAGGAATCTTCCAAACTACCTAGTAAAGTAGAACGATACTTACAAAACTTTTCAGCAACTTCATTTAATCGAGTGGCTCAATGTTCCGAAAAAATGCTTTCCCATTAGCAACATTAAGAATTTTTGCTTGCCTTGTCAATGGCACATAGAACCCGCATATATTTGCATAATACCCACATTCAATTCTTAGTACGTAGGCCTATTTGCGCTTGCATAAGACATGAACCCTTGGACTATCACGAAGCTACGGCCGAACGTTACGTGTATCTACAATCTTTCACCATCTCAAGCGGAACCCGAGCGGTGTTTTTCGCATAAAAAATCGCCGCTTTTCTTCACCCTACCACCATCGGTGGTGCAGATATAAGGTGGTTTCGGACTTCTTGGAACGTATTGCACCAACTGATCATCTAGTGTTATCTCGTACTTTGGCTTCCACAAACCAAATACATACAACATGAAAACTTTGGTAAGTATCAGTGACAGCGATTTACATTATAATTAGTTACACTTTCATGACTTGCTTTGAGTGCCTATATTGGAAGTACTGAAAAATTGCCAAATGACTAGAAACCGGTTCTTTAGCTCTAAGTTCGGAAACTTTAGATTATTCTGCAAGTCTCAGTTGGTTCAAAAATATATTAAAATGTAGTTATTTCAGATTGCCTTCTTCGCCCTTGTAGCTGTCGCTTTTGCCTATCCAGGAGGTTTGGGCGGGCTTGGAGGCGGACATGGGGGCGGCGACTACGCCACCCCCATTATCCACGGCCACCCTGTAGTTACCAAAGTGTTCGAAGGCCCTGGACTTGGTTACTTCACCAACTACGCCCCTAAGATCGATGGACCCTTAGTAGGAAGAGGATTCGGACCCCACATCTATGGTGGAAAAGGCCATTAAAACCCACCGCATTGAAACAGTCACAGTGTGTTCTTCTCTAATAGTTGTTTTTAAATTATTGTTGTTGTGATGATCTTAGGTTTAATAAATTATTTAATTTTTTTATAAAACCTTTGCCTTTTGATTTTTTGCCGACTTTAGTGTGACTACATGCTCCTAGAACGAATTAGTCGCATTAACTTGATATAATTGAAAACACTTGCGAATGTGAATGCCATTGTGGATTGTGGTTATTGCCTAATCACTTTCAAGCGTCTAGGAGATTGTTCCCGAATATCAATTAAATCCCCCTGAAAGGTCTAATAAATTGAATACATGCTCCATTCTCGAGCCATAACAAATATCCGATCTCGGGTTACGAAATTAACATAAATTGCAGTTCTTACCAAACAAACCATTCCCTAACATTTACCGCCCAGCAATTTCCTATCTAATCCATATCGAAGAACCTCGAGCTAAATCTGGGGCAAATAAATAGGCTTTAGACCAGGTAAACTGACCGCCCGTCTAAAATGGGTTGTACAATCGCTAAAACTTTAATTAAATCAATCCCCTCAAGTCCACCGTGCGTGTTAGAAAAAAGCGGTGTGTCTTTTACTTGCAACATACACAAGGGGAAGCTGATAATAGAAATAATTTGCGTTTTAAAATTGCTCAACTTGAGAAAAAGTCGTTGTAAATTTGAAGCATGCCACGCAATTCAAAGTGTAATTTGCGAAAAGCAAGGTCTTTTTTAAGCCAAACGTGCCCGATGGGCGGAATGGTTTCGTTACTGTAATTAGGAGTATAAATACAATGGTGCTTTGTATTGCTGTATTTATGTCTCAATTTATTTGTGTAGGAGTAACGAGCGGGAAACGTTTCCTGAACGCATAACAGATATTTAAAATATGAACGAAGTTGCAATGATTGTTTTGGATAAAATTATGGGACGATTTTGAAGATAATCCAATCATTTTCTTTTAATTTTAAATTAACTTAACGGAACCAATTAATTATAATAATACTTTGCGCCAGCTTGGAAAATTGCAGAAACGTTCCTTACAAATTGTGATTTTAGAAATTTTTGTTGTTGCGATGACTAGTACAGGGATCTTCGGAACTAGAGCAGTTACAAAGAAAGTCAACTGGAAAAAGAATTGTAGTTTTGAATCCTATACTCGAAACCAATTTTATTTTTCTAAAATTTGACAGCTGTCAAGAGATATTTGGGAAAAACTTATTTGTGGTCAATTTTTAAATTACCCACTCCTAGTTCCGTTGATATCAATTTCACAGGAAAACATTAAATAGAAATCTTAAAGAAATTTAATATTCCAAACAAAATAGCATAAGACGTTCCTCCAAAATAACTGTAATTTTTGACATATGACATAAATTTGAGTTTTTTTAAATGGCACCCATACCTGATCATTGCTTTACCGAATAGAGCATTTTATTACGATTTATCTGTCATGGGTGGATGTGTATATCACATCGTTAGGTTTTTTTCGAAAATAAAGTGTCGGCAAACAATTTATACCTTTTCAATTTAATTGCCATTGAAAATAGTATAAGACAGATAGCATTGTTTCCATAGTAACACATAATAACAGTATACTTCAGTATTTATTTTGATAACTACGTTAAAATTGGCAATAACTTTATGTTAATTAAGATGGCTGCTCCTTTAAAGTTTTTATTATAAAAATCAAATCATACCAATAATAACTTAAATTTAACTCTAGAAACTCAAATTTTTATTGTAAAACATTTTCAAAAAGTCTACCAAAATTACCAATGCAAACATTGCAGCGCTTTAAAATTGAAAAGTTGCTTTTCTTAGGGACCGACCATGCATATTTTCAAATGCTCTAACAACAGTTTCTTGAAGTGCATTTAAATTGGAATATTTGTTTTTGTAAACTGTGTTTTTTACGGCTCCCCACAAAAAGAAATCTAAAGGTGTAAGATCCGGTGATTGAGGTGGCCATAAAATAAGGCCGTTTCGTCCAATCCAAGCCTTGGGAAATGTTACGTCCAGGTGATTCCGCGCTTGGGAAAAATGATGCGGAGGAGCGCCATCATGTTGAGACCATTGCACATTACGCCATGTATCTAAATCTAAGTTATCTATCCAACATAAAATTCCGGTCATCGAACAAAACTCATCCTGTATAATCTATTTACTCCTATGGACCTCTTATTTACTATAAGCAGAAAACTTCTAAATAAGTTTTCTTTCAATTTTGTTTTAGCATAATAATCATCAAAAACCAACTGGTTTTTCTGGTTTGGAAACTTACATGTCTACATTCATTTTATTAAAAAAAAATAAATTCGTTTTTGGACAAAGTTTCACCTCTTCTTCAACCAGCCTCGAAATCTTCATTAAAATTCATACTTTCCATTTTAAGTCTTCTGTAAATAGACCCTTGAATGGGAACAAAATCACTTTATATTTAATTTTCTGTATGTTTCTGTGTGAAAAGTCGGTAGCATTTGATCAAATCATATCTATCCATCTATGCCGTTCTTGAAAACGAGCTTGAAAAAAAAGCTGGCCGTTTGAGATCTTCTGCGACAAATTTTTGAAAAATTTGGAAAATCGAAGCCTGTTTATTCTTGCCCATTTTGATTGCTCTGGCATGTAGTCAACTAATCTTGTGTTATAAATGTTCATGTTGAATGAAGTTCGATATCGTTGAAACTATTGAAAATGTTCGATTTTCTGTGGATGATGTTGTGTGGAAGTTTCCGATTGAACCAAACTCTTCTGTTTCATTCAGTGAGTTCTTTTGCCTGTAATTTTCAATTAAATTGGAATCATCGTGCACTGTATAATTTCATGATTCAATCAAATCGCCTTTTCTACGTCTAAAGAATCGGAATAGTTTGGATTCGAAAGGAATTAGCCGTCTGGTGTTCCTTTCAGATTATTGCTAAATACTGTCGTTATGGTTGTTAGTTCATATGAATATTTTTTACGTAAATAAAAAGCATTGTTTGAAATTTTTCTAAATTCGAATTTTATCGAAATTTTTCGCCCCGTTCGGCTGAATTTTTGGTTTATTTTATATACAAATGTCTAGTATAATTTACTTATAAATGTCGTTCGGAGAACGATGTTGTTTTTTGCCTGACAATTCAAGCCGATTCTTGAAATAATGTTTTCTTGAAAGCCAAAGCAATAGATTTTATTCGTACTTGCAGATCTTTCCTCTGTATCTAAACTATCTATTAGCATACCTAGTGGCTAGAGAGTTAATTTTTCTATATTAGCGTCTCAATTTTTTGATTTTTTTTACATTCGTATGCTCCCAACATGACTAATATGGATTAGTTTGTGTAACTTGCAAATAGGCAATTCATTTTTAGGCTTTATTTTCGCGTAAAATGGTTGGGTTTTGAACCCTTAATTCATTTTCGAAAATCGCTTGAACAGAATTTTGGCAATTCCGAACATTGCAGGTCGTAAATTGTGAATTAATTTCGTATAAAGGGATTAAAATATAAATTCCGGTTTCACTAGGAAATAGATGTTTAATTTAGTAAAAATTGGAGAAAATACAATATTTTAATAGTGATCTTTAGGCTCGTTGAGACTGCTGAACTCAACAAAATTTTCTCCAACTTAGAACATCATAAAACATTCAGTGCAAGCTTTCGGCAATAAAGTGTGTAACTACAATTTATGCGGTCAAGAAGCGATAAAGAACGGATTTCATGAGCATTTTACAAAAAATCGTCTTTAATGAACCATCAAGTGATTTTGGAGATTTCTGTTTGAACGAAAAAACCAAATTATACTTTCTGAATTAATTCGACAAGTATCATTAGACAAATTTTAGTAGCATTTGTCCTGATTCAATTTAAATTTTTAATAATCAATTCATTAATGTTGATCCTCAAGCAGCTCAGCAATGAGTTGATAATTGTTCAAAAATAAAAGTATGAAGTTTTCCAAATAAATAAATGATGTGCAATTAACAGAAATTAGTTGATAATTGCTCTTAATTAGGCGTTAATATAACAAAGTGTATTAAAATATTTTCTTTACAACATTCACAAGAACCTTCAAGCGGATTCTCAAGTTATTGCAATAAATAAACGTAGCAATTTACGTAAAACAGATTATTTAATTAACAGTTATTATATCAATTGGTTGTCTTGCAACCGTTGTAAGCGAATTGCAATGAAATGTTGAACACTAGAGCAAAATCCCAGTTATGCATTTTATGTAAGCAATAAACCATTCTCGTGGCGGCCTCTTTATGCGCCCGACTTATATTCTTTGGATTTAATGGCAGAAAAATCTCGGCACAGGCATATGGAAGGAAACAGACTGACAAAAACGTTGTACTTTCGCCATGCAATTATAAAACAATCGACGTTTTAATATCCGGCTCACAAGTTAATAGAGTCACGGCATCGCAAAAAGCCCCTTGAAAATCAATAATCAATTATATTAATTTTTCGAGATGTAGTTTCAAGATATCGTTGCCAAACCGAGGATGTTGAGGTTTGGCGTACGATGGCTGACGAAAAATTGATTATGGGACCATTATGCGGTCACAATGCAAATTGGCATCTAAATGGTGAAAATTGAGAAACATTAGTTTTGTATTATACGGAAGTGGATTCCTACAAGAGAAATTTGCATGGGCAGCAAGATATATTCCAGAAGGTACCTATACAAAACGTTAATGGATGTTTTAGCTATTTTGCAAATGTGTGCTTGACTTTTCGAGAATCTAGATTATTAAAAATGTGAGTTTTGCCTATGAAAGTGTGAATATTTCAGGTAAATTGACCTGAATGGTAAATTTGCCTATCGACCAGTGAACCAATAAGTCGTGCTATTGTGAATTGCTGTTTTTTTTAACCATTCTCATTTTCACACACAACTATTCAAACAATTTATAACTTTCGATACTCATAAACCATAATGAGTTAAATAAACGATTACTAAAAGGTTTTCCAGTCAAGACATTATGCTTTGAAAGAAAATACAATTCGCAATACTTGAGATATATATTCTATGGTGATTCACAACCTTATGCCTTATGCTTACAGAGCAGGGGCGTGTAGAGGACCTTAAAACGAGTCGAGTTTGCCTTCAAGTTTTTTTTCCTCCCAGCCCATTGTAAAAGAGATACAGGGTGTTAAAATTTCACAAAAATGTTGATATTTTCTCTTTAACTCCTACAGTTTATGAGATAATTTGCTCAAAGTTTTAACGTAGGCTAATGTTTAGACCCATTACCCGCAGGTAGGGCGACTGGTTGGAAAAATATACGGAAAAATATATGGGTGTTCTTTTTTCTAGAGGCATACCCAATTTCACCCCCCGAACTTTTTTCGTGCACCATTGACTTCGACCGAACAAATTTTTGAATTTGCTGTTCAACTCARGAATTTTTGATCTCTTGCASTTTTTTTGAATCTRTCTTCGTTTTCGTGTTATTTGCACAAATATAAGTCCATGTAGGGTTCGTAAGTGATTTTCCATGAATTTTCTTATAATTGTTTTGCGTCCTTTTGTTCACATTTTTTTGTGAAAGAAATTAATTTCATAAAAAATTGAAATATTAGTTACATTTTTGTGCATTTTTAATTGGATTAGCTTACAGCCGGTAAACCTCAATTATTGTAAATTAAATAACAGTAGTTTTTTTTTTAAGTTAACTCGTCAGCTATACTTATTTTAACTTCAACTTGCACTTGAAGCTTTCACAAAAAAATGTGAACAAAAGGACAAAAAAATTCATAGGAAATCACCCAGAAACTCTACAGGGACTTGTATTTGTGCAAATAACGATGAAGCCAGATACGAAAAAACCACAAGAGATCAGAAAATTCTGCAATTGAACAGCAAATGTAAAAATCTGTTTGGTCGAAGTCAGGTCAAAAAAGTTGGGGGGGATAAAAGGAGGTATGCCCTTAGAAAAAAAAACACCCTGTAGTTCACAACCAGTCGCCTTACCTACGGGTAAAGGGTCTAACCATTAGCCTACGTTAAAAATTTGAGCAAAATATCTCATAAACGCTAGGAGTTAAAGAAAAAATACCAAAATTTTTTTGAAACTTTTACACCCTGTATCTTGTTAACCATGGGCCTGAGAAAAAAAAACTTAAATGGAAACTCGAATTGTTTTGAGGTCCTCTACACGCCCCTATGTGTCCATAAGGTTGTGAATCACCCTGTACATAAAGCTTTTCAAAATTTTTAAAGTACCTACAAATTGTGAGATTTACTCTCTGTTTCTATGAATAACACATCATTCGAATGTCCACCTCTTCGACTTCGAGTTCAGAAGCGGGTTTGATCGATAGACCCAATTTTCGATGACTTTCTCCAATAAATCAGCTCTAATTACAGCAATACAGCGTTAACTATTTAATTTCGTCAAGTCAGTAGTTCGAGATATGTTCTCGTAATGCGTAATGAATGAGTTCATTTTCTTGCTGATTGAGCCTGGATTGCGATGAAAAATGCCATTGTCTGGCATGCAACTTTGCAACATCTTTTCCGTATGGAGACAAAGTGCTTCTACTCTTTCCAGGAAAGCAGAGGAAGAATTGACGCTTTGTACTAGAGTAATAGTCAGCTCTAGTTTTCCAATGCCATTTTTACTTTATCAAAAATATTCATCTTCAACTGACTAGAATAACAATAAAACTTAACCTGAGTAAAAAATAAATAATAACAACAGCAACAACAACAATCACAAAACTTGCGACTGGGCTTCAATTAGTCCTTCCCCATCCCGTCACTTCTTGTAGGGAGCCTCCAGTTGTTGCGATGGTCTAAAAACTTGCTGCCCAAACCCTGAAGAGTCCTGCTGAAGCCCTCCCTGTTGCACCACGTTCCAGCCGCCATGCTGAGGCAAATGGTAGGGAATCTGCACATCGGTCTGGCCCGGCTGAATCACATTGCTCTGATCAAAGTTCGCGGCGAATGCTTCCTGATTGTTCTGAATGTATTGATCAATGCTCGCCTGTGGCTCCCCTTCTAAAGGAAGCTGCCCTTGAGGAATGTCCTGATACTGTTGAATGGCCTGAAGCTGTTGCTGGAAATGAGGGCTGCTAGGATGAGGCAGCTGCTGCTCAGGGGCGAGGAACTGAGTGGGGTGGTCGTGAGGCAGCGTCTGTTGAGGAACTGCAAACCCATGGGCTGCATGCTGGAAGGGAAGGGGTTGTTGAGGGGCAAACCCATGGGCAGCATGTTGGAAGGGAAGAGGCTGTACAGCGTGCTCGAAAGGCAGCACTTGATTTACTAGGGGATTTTGTTGGTAGAGAGGACCAGCCCCCGGTAGGGGCAGGTAATTTCGGGTTCCGTGATACTCGACAGATACTTCCGGTTGGGGTATTAGGGCAGGCCGGGGCACCACTGGGACTGCTGGGGCTGCATGAAGAGCAGGCGCCAGGTGCACGTGGGGAGCCTGTTTCCAAACAGGAGTGAGAAATCGAGATCCCAAGGGCAGAACTCCCAAGTTGGGCCTGGTGACTTCAAACAGAGTAGGCGAGGGGGCGAAGGGCTTCACTATTGTTGGTATCACTGATTGCGCTACTGCTCCCACATGGTCCAAGTGCGTGAAACTGTCGAAGTGATTGCCTGAAAAAATGCCGGAAATTGGACAAAGGACTCCGGTTATATGATTGGTTGTAAACCCGCTGCTTAAAAAATTTAGATCAGATTTTGCGGCGTTTACTTCACCGCCTGTATGGCAAATATGAACCATGCAATTTATATGGTGAAACTATACGACTAGTTAAAAAGATTGCAAAGCCACATAAACATGTGTTTTATATATGATCGTGTTCCACTTGATTTTACTTTATTAGTTAGGAAGCACTTAAACCAGAGTTTAATTAGTTCGCTGAATGAACCCGCCGTATGTAACGGCCGCCTACTTTACCAGATTTTCCTCCATTCATTTTTTCTGGGCCTCTTTAAAGCAGTGTGCTAGTAATATAACCTGCAAACATCTACAGGGTGTTTTTTAGTGCGAGAGAACCCATTATTTCCGTTGGTGTTGAACTTTCGAAAAAGAGTTACATATAAAAGTTTTTGACGCACAAAGTGCGCACATTTCTTAAATATTTTATATAATACAGAGTGTCTCAGACAAGCGAGTCAAGATAAAAGTGTATTTTTTTAAATAGAACTACTCATTTTTCATTAGCTCATGGAATGCAGGTTGACACTCTGCATATGCACCGTAAATTGTTTTTTTCTTACTTGCGACGTTGGCAGGTTATCGCCATTTTAGTAAAATTTTGCTTAAAAACATGATATCTCAAAATTCATTGTAGAAGCAAAAAAAGCAGTTAAATATACAAAAAAAATACGTCTTTCCAATCACCACAGATCCGTTAAAAATTATATTGAACCAAAATATCAATACAGTGTACAATATTGTACAGGGTGTTAACAATGTGGACTTAAATCTGAAACTTTTTAACGCAATATAACTTATGTTTTTCAAAATTGAAGTACCTGTATATTAATACCTCATTAGATAGACAATTTACAAAGTTACACATTTGCATTTGCACTTTGAGCTGTGAAATCAATGAATGCTGTGAATTTTATAGCCATCTTACAAAATGTAGCAACTTTTTGAAACTGTTAAGTAAAATAAATTATAATTTGAAAACGGTTTAACAGCGTAAAGTATAAATGCAAATTTGTAACTTTGTAAATTGTCTATCTTTTCTGCTTTTCTAGCTTTTCTGAGGCACTCTGTATCATATAAAATGTTTTTAAAATGTTCGCACTTTGTGCGTCAAGAACTTTTATATGAAACCATTTTTCGAAAGTTCAACACCAACGGAAATAATGGACTTTCTCGCACTAAAAAACCACCCCGTATATTACAAAAATTCCACTCTTGTCAACAAGGAAATAAAAATGTGTGATTGAGTTGAAAGGTAGGGGGTGGCCCAAAGTGAGCTGAAAAACTATGGCTTACTTCCCGTTCTTTGAACTAAATTGGTTTAGAAAATGCCAGGTAATTTCCGGATTTTTTGCATGTTTTATTATGAGCAAGGATTTTCTGTTTTTTAATTTATTGAATCAAACGGAAATTAGATCTATTAATACTTTTGTGTTAAATATCGAGTTATAGTGTTAAAAATTGATAATTTTGGGCCGAAAGCCTTAACGTTTTCAGAAAGAGTAACCGCTGAATTAGGACCTTATGTACAAAGATTGGTCAGAATATTTCGTAAAAGAAAAAATTCAGCGCGTCTGTAAAATGTCTGAACAAAATCCTGCCACAGTTAACCCGGTAACTTTAGTCAGTTTTAAACCCACTTAATGAGCTAGGTTGAGAAACATTGCGAAACTTTGAAGACTATTATTATTTCCCTTACCATGAGGAACATTAATCTGATGAACCTGATCAACATGTTCAGGCCTCAAATGAACATAGCTGGGCCTTAGGGGTTGCAAGTGAACATGGCCCACATTTGTCGGAGCCACATGATCCACATGAGAAGCTCCTGGAGTATTGTGGATCACATCCACGCCCGGTTTCAGTTCCACCACTGGTTTCACAGCAGCCTGCACAGGCTTCCATCCACTTTGTGCTGCTACTGAAGGGGCCTTAAGGCTGAAATGAATCTTCGGTTTGGAGTATCTGTTCATCAAACATTTGTTTCCTTATCATTGCTTCCATTATGTGCGGGTTGAACTTTACCTGTAGCCTCCAAGAAAAGTGGGTTTGACCCCAACGCGAATAGGAGCATAGCCGAATGCTTGCGGCTTCAAGCCGCCCTTTATCACCACTCTTTTAACGTAGGCGCCGTTGGAGCGACCGCAGGAGTTTAAGGCGGCGCAAATAGTTCTTTTATCCTGGTTGTTGGTGTTTAGGTCCTGGTCTTGGTCTTGAAGAGGATCCAGCTGCTCTTGCGCTTGATCTTGAAGGGACGACACGTCAGCCAGAGATCTGGTTAGCGTGCAGGCGAGTAGCAAAATTACTGTAACCTGAAGAAACCGGTATTTTAGTGTGTTAAAATGTGCGTTGGCTCATCAGTTAATCCGGCGTGAGTTAGAGGTTTGCATTTTCTCTTCGAGTTTATCTCTTTACAATCGTCAAGCTAATTTAAAGGTTTGTTGACTAATTCAGTGCACGTTCTTTGGTGGTTCACATAGAGGGATTAACATCTTATTTAGATTTTGCTGGGAAGCTTTGTGTATCTTTATCAATAGGAGAGACACATCAGAGTCGATGAAAAAAATAACGTTCGGTAGCTACCAACTTTCTTTACACTTTCGCGTTTATGGGCGAGGATTGTGCGGCTTTCAGCTAGCACTTTAAGAAGAAAACATCGGAGCAAGATATTGAAAACTGAGCAAAGTCTAGTGGCATCAGCGCGAGTATAATAAGGTTTGGTAGTCAGTCAAATTTTCTTGAAGTGACTGGATAGTCCAAGTCCAGTGTATCTTCTGCAATATCGCACTCCTGTTCCCTGAAACGAAATGTTCTTCGTTTTTGTTTGTTGAGGAATCCGAACCGTGCAGATGCGGCCGATGGTGTTTTCCAGATGGGATTTGTACACAATAAATTGCTCAATCTAAGAAGCTTTTGAAAGCTTTTCTCCAAGCCCGGATTTATGGCGGAGTTTAGAATAAGTGGCTCCGATACTTTCTAGGGAGTCAGAAGTGTTATTTCCGATCCTTTTCTTTGAATTTTCTTAGTAGATGCTCTTTTGCATATTCAAACCTCTGTCCAATTCTAAGCAGATGGAAAAGGAAGTTGTACTGTTTTTTGCATCAAAAAAGCCAAGATTTTCATTCTTATGTAAATATTTTAATCAAGAAACGTTTCCACATTTTTCTGAGGTTTTTCAATCATTTGATCAATTGCAAACTTCTGAGTAATAAAGTAAGTAAGAAACTTGCAAGACTTTTACGCAACGACTTAACAATTGCAGCATTAAAGCAAATTTTAAATGATTTTATACGCTTAATATACCCAAACTTTCAATCCAGAGCGTTTCTAAAAAACTTGCTTCAAATCACGTGAAGAATCACTTCCGATCGAAACCTACTTCAGACCAGAAACAAGTTAAAAGTGTCATAAAAGATCTATAACTGAATCCCATCCTTGGGCCAGATAAATTTCCTTGAATATTTCTGTTAAACTGTTCACAAACATTAAAGCCGTTCACATGAATGATCTACTTAAAATGTGCCAATTTCGAGCAAACTGAAGGAAGCTGTGGTAACCACAATCTTTTAACATTTTGCATATTTTTTCCAGATCGAGACCAAATTGATTCAAAAATTAAAAATGCTCTCTGTATTGTATAAAATTTAACTATTTCAAATTTCGAGTCTCACAGAAGTTTCTGTGTTCACAAGTTCACAGAAAATGTGCGTATTTGTTCATCGCTTAATAGAACCACATCGATTCTTCTTGTAGAAACATCTGATAACGTTCAACTATTAGCCGCGGCTGGAAACGATTTTTGTTCTCTCGGTAAAACTGGTAAAGTACTACAAAAAACATTGAGAGCATTGAAAATAGTCGTGGATAGCGTACGAATGAAATCTTTCATATTTTGCTTTTTTGATAATTTAAAATTCCAATCTTTTAACGTTAGCGAAAAAAAAAATTGCAGTATTTAATTGATCAAAAGAACGGGGTTTCAAAAAATGTCTTTCAAAAACGCGTTGCTTCATCCGAATCACCACTTTTCACCAGCACAAAAAATCTGATTTACTCGATTAAACCTGAGGTAAAAAATACGCTTTTGTGGTGAACAGCGAAAATAAAATTTCTGAAGGGATAACGTCGACTTACTAAGGGATATTCCATAATGGGCACAAAAAAGGTACAAGAGACGCTCACAAAACTAGCACCATCACCTGCACAAATCGCACACTGACAAGATCAACAAGTTCACTTTCTTTTTGTTTTTATATGAAAGTATTCATGATGGACGAGGGTGGATTTTCAATTAGGTCCCAAACATCATTTACATTTTTTAATATTAATGAGTACGCGACACGCCGATCTATGAAAGCGTTTACCAATTCTGGATGCATTTTTCTTCGCTAATTGTCGGTGACCCTGCCCATATTAATGCGATTGGTAATCGAAAGAGATAATTTGGAAACTCATTTGGGTTTAAGGTTTTTGTTGAAAGCTGAAACTATTTTAAAGTTACTCTATCTTTGAAGAGTAACTTGTCTTGTCTTGTCTAACTAATCTTGAGTTGAAGTCTTTAAAGTAAAAAATTTGGGATACATTATTTACGCCATTCTCCATTGAAGAAGGCTCCAGGCTCATCTAATTATGATATAAAGAGAGGAATTAAAGAAGAAAACAGTGCAAGGAAGATAAAACAATTCGCTAACAAAAGACTGGCAATGTGCTACGTTTGCAGTGCCCTATCAAAAAATATTGAAAAGTAGTGAAAAACGGAAACAAATCCAAAACATACAGCGTTATTGTAAGAGAACTTAATTAATCTGATGAAAATTCAACGTCTTCTTTTGCTTCGACCTCAATGAACTTCTATGATATTTGTTTAGCAAACTATGGCATAAACATTAAACATTTTTGCCTCTTAAAGTGACTTTCTAACTATTAACTACGTTGCTGTGCATCGGCAATTGGTTCCTTTCGTCAGTCTATTCACAATTTAAGTTAGCAGATAGGATAGGATTAAAAACCAGCAAAAAGGAAAGGGAAAGTGCGCAAACCGTTTCCCATGCCCATAACCAATTTGCTCTAGTTCTTGCATAAAGACGGCCACCGGTGTCGTTTTCTCTGGGTCAGATTTACGGTGGCCAACCACGCATCTGAAATAGTCCAATTGACATGAAATAGACCGATTTAGGTCTTGTTACGTTAACTATTGCGTCCCTACGGTTTCACGCAATTCTATTGCAAATCTTTGTCGTATTCAAATTCGGTAAATTGTTGTTCTGCATTCTGTGACCGCTGTTGCAATGATAACTGTGTCAGCGGCAAAAATGCTGCCGGCATGCCGTCAAGGCAAATGAAGTTCATTAGAAGAAGGGAAAACACGAGTGATATTCACAAAGTAAGAAATGCAACTGCAGAATGACCAGTATTTTCTAGTAAATTGTGTGGTAAGCCAGTTAAAGCAAGCGAAACGACAAGATTCCTAAACCGATCATCGAAGTGACAAAGAATTTATGAAAAGGCTTGAAAATGAAAGGTCATTGACTAATTACTTCATCAGTTTTTAAATTTAGTTGATAATTGAAAAAAAATTGAAGCACTTAAGCACCCACCCTGCTGAAGAAAAGTTTTGGTTTTCATTGTTATAGAAAGCTCTTAGATGAATTGCACTGAAAAAATTGTGGTTGCAACATTGTTCAACTTTTCAATTTCTTGTTTCTTCAGTTTGTTTATTTTCATATTAATCACACTTTAGCACCTTTTCTTCAAACAGGAAGAATGTTTCATTCCTCTCAATAGCGGAATCTATCCATCCACGGAATACTTTTCTTCTTATCATCAGGAAACGTTTAATCATGTCACTTCTATTCCTAAAAATTATTGGGTTGTCTCCACACCATAATAATTTATTGACTTATTGCCCAATTGATTTGTTGTTATTACAAGATATTTGTTTCTATTGGACAGCTTGCAAAGCACCGGAATTAGCCGAACATTTGCATAAATTTTGAACAAAACCTTGAGAAAAATCTGTAAAAATATAAACAACCGAAATTGAATATACGGGGATAACCAAACTTGCAAATTTTTAGCAAAAACCCAATCACTTATCCATCGTGTTGATTAGATAATATTACATCTACTGCATGAAACTTTCTATTGCCAGTAGGGAGTTTGGATAAAGGAATTTTAAGAAATTTAAATAAAATAGCAACCACTTAATGATCTGTACTTTTTCCGTATTTATGAGAGCAAGTAGCTTACAAAACCAGCCGAGCCGGATGCAGTTTCGCCTTAATAGAAACCTCCAAACATTTACTATATAGGTATAGACTCGCTCTTCAAACATTACATAAATCCACTTTGGTTGTTTAAACAGCCTTTTAATCAGTTTAATTACTCATTGGTCGATTACATATAGTCTCAATGAAAGTGTGAATGAATCGGTTCTTAATTAACGCGAAATTTGTTGAGGAATTCTGCATGCATATGAACTTGCTGCCAGTTGTCGGCTTAATCGCTTTCTTATACCAGAAATGTTTTAATAATGAGAACTTGCGGGTTTAGCAACTTTTGTAATCCATTTTAGCGGTAAATCGCAAACTTTTTTAAAAGTCTGTACCTCAGCACCGACTTTCTTCGGCTATTGAAAGATGTAAATTAGTAATTGCCGTCCAGCAGTCACGTATACAGTGCATTCGTTACATTTGCTTTTTTTAAACGAAAAAATCGTTATCTTGCAATCCCATTATCTCTTTCGCTGTTTTTGCCTACTGTTCATATGACAGTACTAAAAAAGACAGTATTAATATTGCACCACTAATTTTGTAATCTTTGAAAACCAATTCATCGCGGAAATATGTTCTTTGGTATGGCGCTAGTTGGTATGCCCGATGGCAATCGAATGTGTGAGAGTGTACGTGTGTCTTCACTTTGCCTTTTTACTGTTCGCGATAAATCACTATGAAGAAAGAAGAAAGTATTTTGCAATGTATGCCAAAATGCGTGCACTGTTTGTCTAATTGATCAACAGTTTTGCATAGTGTTTGTTTACGACATGTATAGAGCGAATTTAAGTTGATTTTTACTTATAATTAAGCTTCCACCACCAGTCCAAGCTAAGGATGGGGTTTTGGTGGCGCTCTGCTTTTTTCGAAAATTTTCAAGGGCCAGTTAAGCCACATAACTCATTTTGACATCGTTGGATAGAGAACTGAAAATTCGATTCAGTCGCAGCAACACCAATGAGGAAACTCGAGTAGCAGTTTTGACCCAGAAAGTGAAATTTGAATATGAGACATTTAGGTGCAAGATTATGCAAAAATTTCATGTTTTGGGTACCGACTTTGCTCGTTCCCCGGAAGCAAAATGAGCAAGAATGATCATTTTTACATCATTCCCGAGAGAACTAAATGGCCTTTTTTGAAAGTGAACCATAGATAAGGAAATGTTGGCAGTTTTCTCAAGAGAGTCTTGGTTTCAAGATATTTTAGATTTGTGTGTTTTTTTTTTGTTGCAAAATCGATTCACACAGTTTAGCTATAAAAACATGAGTGAGAACATTCGAGTAGTTTTGACCCAGAAAGTGAAATTAGAATATTAGACACTTAGGTGCAAGATTATGCCAAAATTCAATGTTTTCCGTCCCGGTTTTGCTCATTCCAGAGAGAACTAAATGGCATTTTTAGAAAGTGAATCATCGATAAGGATATGTTGAGAGATTTCTCAAAAAACTCTTTATTTCAGACAAATAGACTTTCATTTATTCAAGACATTTTTTCGAAGTTTCTCAAGCCCCAGTTGATTCACTAAATTCGTTTTGGCATCGTTGGAGAGAGAATTGAAAATTTGATTCAGGTATTCAGTGATGGTAGCCATCGATGTTAACATCGAAAGGTAATATCGATGTTAGGGAAACATCGAAGGCACAACATCGATGTTCTGTTAGCTTGCAGCTGCATACAAATTTCAAATAGATTAACTCAAACTTAAATAATTTTATTTTACCACTAGTATGATACATAACGAAAACATAACATTGTTAAATAATCGATTAAACTTATTCAACTTATTGTTGCCACATTTTTCGGTCAACTGACTGCAAAAAGATGCCGTTTTCGGGTGCAGCAGGAAATGGGCCGCTATGCTGCAGTGTCGTTTGTATCGGCACTATCAAAGAGTTCGCAGAAAATGTTTCTATCTAGAATCAACATAAAATGTCCGATGTTTTCATTTCAGGATCTAACATCGATGTTTTATCGATGTCTCTAATTTCCAACATCGATGGTAAAAATATCGAAAATCGAACACATTACATCGATGTTTGCGAAACATCGATGTTTTTATCCCATCCCTATGCCAGAGAGAACTAAATGACCTTTTCAAAAAGTTAACCATCGATAAGAAAATGTTGGCAGATTTCTCAAAAAGTCTTTATTTCTAGAAGTTTATAGAGAATGAAAATTCGATTCAGTCACAGCAACGCTAGTGAAGAAATTCGAGTTTTGACCCAGAAAGCGAAACTTGAATATCAGAAATTAGGTGCAAGATTTTGCCAACATTTCATATTTTCCTTCCCGTCTCGAAGAACGCTCATTTTTACATCTTTCCGAAGAGGACTAAAAGGTAATGTTGGCAGATTTCTCCAAAGAGTCTTGATTTTCAGAGGATTCAAGGGGTTTTCCTGGAAGATTAAAAAACTTAACTTCCAAGGCGTCTGAGCCGAAGGAATATGGGATTATTTTGAGAGCAAAATTGAGTGATTTTCCACTTTATCAGGTTTTATTATAACGGATATCTTAGTCAGTTTCCGGTCAATTATGAGATCAAAATTGTTAAAGTAGACGCAGACGCAAAAAGAGAGCATTTGTAGAAAAGAAGAAATTCGTTTTTGAATAGAATTCGCGTTTCTTGCCACTACAATAACAAAAAATACTTTCAATGAATGAATTGAGAATAATAAATGCGGCGAGTCTCAAGAAGCAGTTTGATGAATAGATACTCAAAAAATATGAAAAAGTATAAATCATATTCAAGCAAAAATTATTAATTCCATTCAGAAGTATATTAAAAGCGGTCTTACTGATGGACCATAAAAATGTATAGAAGAAGCTGAAAGTTTATATAACTTTCTCTGGATGAAAATCAGTTTAGTCTAATTATTCCAAAAATACCAAAAGTATCGAAATAATCAGCTTCGCAAAAGAAATGGGGATTTTGGATAGTGAAAACCTTGTTCTATTCTATACAAGAGACGGCATTGCCCCCTTACACGGTTTGCAATTCGAATGACCTGCCTTTTGGCCAGACCTGAGTCTGTGGAACGAAAAAACCAAAATCGTTACAAGGAGACATATTGTTGCTAAAGCTCGGCTCGGTGCAATCATTCATATAACGAATTTTACGAAACCCTGCCAAATTGCTTAATAACGGAAAAAACCGCGTTTGTGCTAATATTTTTATTGATTGGGTTCATTTTGCATGCACCGTGGACAAAAACGAGGTTAAAACCACCTTAGCCCGTGCTAAATGCGATTTTGAATAACATTTCTTGGCAATTTACAGGGGGAACAAACATGTGCGCAAAAAAGACGACACAAAACAAAAAGATTGTCACAGGAAAGCAGCAAAAAAATCTATGACAAACAATCAGTTGTAAAACAGCTCGTTATGACACATCGTTAACCAATCAGAAAAAGCAAACACCAACGTTTTTCTTCGGTTTTTTTTGCGGAATGATTCACCAACTTGCGGGTTCTGAATCAGATATCGGCAAAATTGCTCAATGAATATTACTTCTAAGGGGTTCATAAAACTGATTGATAAAACCATAAAAGCAACACAGTTGTTAGATGCTGGTTGTTGCAATACCAAAGACGACTAACTTGGTAGAAGAGGGAATTTGAAACGGTTTAAGTTTAAAACACTTATATTTAAGACATTTTGATTGAGAGTTTACAAGTTAGAATTTCACGGAAATGATCGCATTATTTGAGTTAGTTACTCTGTTCTACAAAATAGAGTAAGTTAAGTGTGTAATCTGGTGTTTCCCTGATGGCCCTGATGGAACCCAACATATTCCCTGTTGGCTAATTCTGGCCATGCTCCAGCTTCAAACGGTCCAGTTGTTTACAGAAGAGAACTTAATTTAGTGTTTATAGAGTTTGGTCATATGGAACCAACTCAAATGTACCTACAACACAACCTTCCTGGTTGTGAGTCCTGATGTTTTTTCAGTGTTGTCGAATGCAATCCATTTCGCATCCCCAGTTATAATTCGTTTAAGAAGTGGGTCGATTTGGCACCCCAGCGTCGATTTTCCTCTTGAATCCAGCCTTCTACAAATGGTTTAAAACATCAAAAATACAGAAGCGGAATCAACGAAGTCAATATTGGTCATCATTGGCCACGAGCATCGCGACGAAATTCAATCGCCTGGTTGGCGATTTGGCTTTTATCGACGAAAACCTGAAAAAAGTAGCAAATTTTCAAGAGAAAATTCAATCAAGAGGCTGACTTCCCTTTTGAACACTCTGTAACTCCAATCACAGCTGGACGAACCAGCAAGTTTTGCTAATATCAGACCATCATTGAATTTCCTAAATGACTTCAAGCGTTCTTCATCAGTTTTCTTGGCGACGTGCTCCATATATTGTTTTTGAACTATCAGCTTGTGTAGTTTTTCTCAATTGAATCGAAAAAGGAAATGCATACACAAGATCAATTTAGTCTCTGAATTGCACAATTGTTTTCCCGGTTAACCAGTTTCGCAGCTTTCATGGTTTCCGATATCCCGATTAATTGCTCAGTCACATAATTCTTCAGCTCTTCCCCATTGCAGTGGTTTAATTTGGAGTTCCTCTTCGATAATATCCGCATTAATTTCCCATTGTTGTGTGCGGTAACGCGCAAATTGCGCTACAGCAACTGGATACTCTGCTGGCGGTTCGATTCGCACCATAAAATGGCACTTAATGGCATCGAATTTGTCAACACCCTGTATTTTTGGTGGAACAAAAACCACAGTCAATCACTTATAATATAGAACAAATCGAATTTTAAACGCCCGGGACCCAATGATGCGTTTCGGTCAGATTTGTTTTTACGTAAGTGCTCGGTCACTTTCGCGAAAATACCTTTTATAAAGTGTCGCAAATTTAAAAAAACAACGGTCTTTCTCCATCAAAAATCGATCAAAATAGTCAATTGCATTGTCGGCTTACTGCCAGTCTGGCACCAGAAGCTCTTGGAGCAGCACGGCCTGAGTCCCGTAAGGCTTTCGATAGTGTTGCGCGAAATAATGCAACATGTTAATTACACATAGCCATCTCGTTGGGTTGCTCGTGTTGATTGTGGCAGTGATTAGTGCTCGTCTGGAAAATAGTGACCGTAGAACTAGAGTGATCGGTGCTGACAAGGACGATGAGGATGTGTACGAGGATGTTGATCTTACTCTACAACCGAGGGATAAACGGACTATTGGCACTCTTTTAAGTGGCGTCGCTGATCTGTTTGGGTAGGTATCCATGGGGTTTTCAAGTGAAATATTCCAGTAGGGTTTCAATATTTCCCCAAATGCATAGCTATATTACCTTCACTGAAGAATCTGGCTTTTTAAACAGTCCAAAAAAACGCTCAAAATGCTTGTTTTAGATTAGGTTTCCAAAACTTTCAGGTTATTGGTTGCTTGATTAGAAAACCACTATTTTGGCTTTGTTAAGCTCATTGATCTCAGCCTTCAATGTGTTGCTCCTCTTCTTCGTTGCAAGTGATATTAAGTGCTGCACATTTGCTTTTTCCTAATAATGGGATAGACGAGAAGAGCAGATATTTAATGCTTCGTTCCTTTACCATTTTCTTGCGACTTTCTCCCGCCCGTTGAGCTGTTGCTTGCTCCATTGCAGTAAGAGCTTTATTAGGCTCAGTAAACTCATGACATTTTTCTTTCGATATCAAGCAAGTTGTTCCCCAGAGAATTCTGGGCTTGTTGAGCATTAGAGCTTCAACAATTCCCCCCTTTGATAGAGAAGCAATTAGCTGCTTCCGTCTAAAGCATCATAAAATTGATAATAAACCCAGAACTGTCTCTCTGTGCACAAATTGCACACTTTCAATTGCTGTAGTTAACTTCAGCAATCCGCCAGTAAACTACTGAAGCGTCCCTTTATTGGCGCAAGAGCCACTAAATCTTTTGCTTGCGCCCCAGGAAACGCTTGGAACTCTTCCCTTGGGCACAAAGCCGCCGATCCCTTGCACTGTCAAATGCCTTTTCCAAATCTACAATCTTCCAGGTATGACGTACAAAGACGGCCGTCGCTTTTAGAGCAGTCGCCATTGGTTTCTCCGGTTTCTGGACAGATCGTGGCCGCTCCCGCTTCTGCTCCTGCTGTTCTTTTGGACCCCAATGCTGATATCAATGCGATTCTGGCACGTCAAGCGGCTCCACCGGCGCCTCCTGCAGCTGCCCCTGCTCCGGCTGCGCCTCCGGCAGCCCCAGCCGGGCCTCCCGCTCCTCCAGTTACTCTGACGGCTGGAGTGCGGAGGGCCTTCCAAGTGGGGGTGAACTGGAGCAACCAGAGGCAGCAACTTGGAGGTGAGTTGGTTGCACCTCTGTCTGTCTGGATGATAAGGGTTGGGTTGTTTCAGGGCCAGCTCCAGCTGCTCCAGCTCCAGCTCCAGCTCCAGCTCCTGCTTCTGCTCCTGCTCCTGCCGCGCCACCGCCGATCCAAGGTGAAAGAAGAGCCTATACAGTGGGTCTCAATTGGCAAAATTTACGACAGCAGCTGGGTAAGCTCGGAAAGCGTAGTGGAAAGGTTGAAGTTACTGATTTATTCGGGTGTCTTAGGAGGCCCAGCTCCAGCTCCAGCTGCTCCTGCTCCTGCAGGAGCTGCACCAGCTCCTGCACCTGCAGGTCCGCCTCCACCTCAAGGCTTCAGACAGTCGTACCAATTGGGTTTCGACTTTTCCAATCAACGACAACAATTAGGTATGCTATTTTTGGATAGATATGGCTTGCAGTTTTGTCTCCATTTTTATACATTTTTCTGATGCAAATGCTTTTAGTTAGCGCGCTCATCTGTATAGTTGCAGGGTGTATACGTTTGCAAGTACAGCAAAAGCACGAAAAAATAAGTGTTTAGGGGGTAGTTATTGAAGATCTTGGGTTTCTGCACTAGCAGCAAAAGGGAGTTTTTCGAATCCAGTTCGTATTTTTATGGTTTTCAGTACGGATAGTTTCGGAAACGCTTGCAAGTGGGAATCATAGAAATACGCCTATTTGGTGGAATATTCCCGACAGTGTTTAGCTTCTTTTTGTATTATTTGGTTCTTTTATTGGAAGCTGTTGGTGAGAATTTGGGAGAAAATAGGGAAATAGGGGACTTCTCGTATGAAAACACGCAACTGATAACAAAATAATACATACTATTTTACAGTTGAATTAAATATTCACTGTTTATTTAAGTGGGGTTTTTTAACAAAAAAAATTAAAAACAAGAATGGATATATTTGAAATTTTTTAAAAAGTCATCGATCTGTAACTTTGCAATCAGAGAAAAATTGTAATTGCTAGATTATAGAAACTCTCATTCGTAAAATGTGCAGATTTTTATACGGAAATTGTAAATTAGTATAAGGCTTCTTTTCGATAAAAAAAGAAAACGGGTCCCAAAGCAATATTTTTTTGATCTGTCTGGACTAATGGAAATCAGTTGTGTTCGTGAAAGATTTATGAATAAAATTGGCAAAGGAGATTCATTGTAAGTTACTTAAAAACGAAGCGTTTAAAAGATCAAATGCATTAGAAAATATGCGTTGTCTATATATATGTATATATGTGCCGTATTAAGAGGAGAAAAATAAGCATTTGCTAAATGATGATAATTTAGTGGACAACACTGAAGCAAATGTCGAAAACACGCGAGTTTTTTGATATTCTAAAGCACACCGATTCAGATCTTCTGCACCACCTAAAGGCAGTTTCGTCATTTTTATAGCACATGAATAAGAATTTCAATTTTTTATGCTTTTGAGTGTGTGGTGCACACACCAAATAAAACTTGCAAAAGCCATAAAAATGTTCTCTATGTCATAAAAACAGAAACCTGGAAACTTAAAGCTTTTGAAAAGTGGGCCTTTCTCTATTTAAACGCTGAAACCGTGACTATATATTTCAAAAAAATGCATAAGTAACTTGAAGAACTTGTATAAGTTCACATGTTCAAACTTTTTAAATCCCAAAAATAGTACAAAACAGTATTAAACTGCACAAGTCTGACACCAAAGAAACTGTTAATCAATTTGGTTAAAATTGGGTAATTTTGAGGAGCTAAACAGCGATTTGCACGCCATTTTCAGGGTAATAAATAACTCACTTTGTAAATCCCGCTTCTGGCTTCTTTATCAGAATTAATAATATATTTAAGCAATTGGTACATTCTTTAAAATGATGTAATTCTTCTATTTATTAATTAAACTACAAAAAGTGTCTGTAAACTTCAGCATCAAACAGCTTCTTTCAATTATAGATTAGAATATCTACAACTTATACTAGTGTATTTCTAGACTAATTTTTTGCATTGATATGAAAAAATAATACCAATTTTAAGCCTGAAAATATTTTTACTAAAAATTAGACTATCTAACAACAAACAGATTAGGCAACAATAACACATTGAAAATGGACTAGAGAGAAAAATCGATTAAACTAAAGCACATTTAAAAAAAAAAGCAAATTCTTCAAGAACCTACCTGAAACATTGATTCACAATAATGAATTGAAGGTTTCTCATTTTAAATTATACCAAATATTTCTTTTGATCTTATCTAGACTCTTGTCATGTACTAAAGGAAAATTCTGACTGTCATAAGAGGAGGACTTTCGAGGCCATTCCTTGAAACTAATGGGTTTTTCGAATCATCAGACATTCCCCGAAAAATAATTAATTCAGACCATTTTATATTAGAAGCAACTGTGGACACTTATTGAATCGAACGAGATGGTTTCATATCGAAGAAAAAGTGCAGATTACAGCCTGCCAATCTGCATTTTTATTTTGAAAAATTGGGTTCAAATCTTTAAAATGAATGAATTTATAATAATGAACTTATTATTTTGCACATGAATTAAGACTTTTTGGTTGCCTGAAAAGCGCTACAATTCTCACAAATGCAGTTGTTGAGTAGTTGCACTCACTCACACAAAAATTGCACTAGCAGATATTATTTAAGTATTTTTTGCTGAGCCGCAAACTTAGAGGGAGCATAAATAAGTAAGCGCTTTTATAAACACCCAGCCTTGTAAGATTGAAATATCTGAAACATATTCACAAAATGTACATATGTAGAGGTATGTGAACTTTAGATTATTGAATTTAGGATGCAAATTTTACTTTTTTGATTCGCTGTGTACATAACTGTGAACTTTTTATAGGATAAAAGTAACTGGCAACAAACAGAAGTTGGCAAAGCTTGGCAAAATCACCAAATATGGAGGATAATCCTATAAATCACCATATTGGCACTAAAACGCCTATATTAGTGTATTTATTAGTTTAGTATATGTTTACTGTAAAAATGTAAGTAAGTACGTTTTGCAATGAAATTATAGTAATTAGTTTTCAAAAACTGCAGAGGTTTTATTTGGAACGTCCCCAACGAAACTGCTTGAACCACAGAGTTACTTACTTACTTACATTAAAGCTGCTGTACATTATCTGCACTGACCAAACCATGAAATTAACATTTAGTCCTTGTCCTGAATCTACCAGCTTTGTATAAACTCCCCAACCTTTACTCATCCAGTCCTTGACTTTACTGACGCATCCCACTTACCTCACCTGCTCTCTTCAGGAGGCCCCGCCCCCGCAGCCCGAGCAACGCCTCCGCCTGCTGCGCCTGCTGCACCTGCAGCGCCTCCCACTCCTGCAGCTGCCGCAGCCCGGTTATTAACTCCCGAAAGCATACCCGACTTCATAAGGCATAAACCGTTAAGCCCCACTTTGGTGGAACGAATCTACTTTGACAAACAGCATCCGTTGGCTCTGAAGAAAATCTTTTTCCCTCAAGAGATAAACAGTTGCGAAGAAAATGAGACGGGAGACGATCCGCCCAATAGAGGAAAACTAGCTCCCCATCCTCTGCCCCTGCCGCGTCTGCCAATTCGTTTAGACACACCTCCTAGGGAGGCTGAAGAGCCAGAGGAAAGCAAAGAGGAAGAAGAAGAAGAGGAGGAGGAGGAGGAGGATCCCCAACAGAGCAATCAGCAGGAAAAAGAAAACCAACAGAAAAAGCAGAATCCACCTGAGGAAGAGGAGGAGGAGGAGGAAGAAGAAGGGGAAGAAAAAGAAGAAGAAAAAGAGGAAGAAAACAAGGAAGACAATAAGGAAAAATACAAGAAGGGTGAAGGGGAGGCAGAGGAAGAGGAGGAAGAAGCAGAAGAAGTGGAAAGGCGAAGAAAAGAGGCGCCCAGAGGGTTCCAAAAACCAGCGGCACAAGGATGGCGTAAGGAAGACACTGGCGATCCGAACGAAAAGGTTTTCGTCCTCAACCAGGAGTACAGCTACCAAAATGGGCCCCACAAGTAAGTGCTAGTCAAAAATATTATCGCTAAACCACGCACTAATGTGCATTTAACCGTGATGCAACTGTGCAACGGCTCATTGGAGATTCGGTAACAACGAGGTAGTAATACAGATTTTGACCCAAAAGTAGTAGCATTTCAAGGAATTTGTTCTCGTAAAATACATGTAACGGTGCTCGATTTACGCAATCAGTTTGCAGCATCGTGCAATTATTAATGATCATAAATGGTTTGGTTTTAGGGTGAAAATCGATTTGCCTGACTACTCGGATGCGGACAACGAACAAAAACGACGACACATCCAACCCAAGCCCACTAAACCCAGGAAATTTAAAAAGTTTCAGTCGTTTGGAACGGCTACGCCCACCCCGTTGGCTATACTAAAAATCCGAAGCATTCTTGAGGATGGGCCGAAAGATCTGAGACCTTTTGGTACTAAAACGAGCAGCAGTGTCCGACTGCATCGCAGATCGGTAAGAAGTGTAGACACCAACAGTCCAACAACGACTCCACCACAAGACATCATACCATCTCCAACACAGAAAAGAGTTGTGCGCGACTCAGATACAGCAGAAAATATTGAAGTCGCTAGCCTCACTAACAAAAGACTTTTAGATTATTTTGCGAAAAAATTCTTGAATGACGCAATAGTCGCTAGACAAGCCATCCAAAACCCCCACCTCATTCATGAACCCTATTATCAAACACGTGATCATGAGAAGATTCTAGAACCTTTTTCTATTTCTTTTAAGGAGGAAATAGGGCAGAGGCCTAAAGAAGCGACAATAATCAGTCCGATTGAAACAATTAAGAAAATACGAACCAAAACGAATCAACGCGTGGCAGAACAGCATCAAAACATCTTGAGGGAAATCGCGAATAACTTTGAGGACCGGCAACAATATTTGAGCAATCAAAAATCCAGCCCAAAGAAACCAGCCAGCAGCGAAGACATCAAATTATACTATGCGAAAGCCTTAGATGGCATTGTTAAGAACTTTGAGGACACGGCAAACCATGAGCGCACCCGCCAGGAAGCGCTCAACACCCAACACGAGGAGATAATTGACACTTTAAGAAAAATCGCAAAAGAAAAAGAACAGCGTCGACTGGCGGCTGAAAACGAAGAAGAAGCCGATCATGAGGAAGACGAACCTGCACCAGAAAAAGTCAAAACCGAATTTTTAAAAGTGGTCGTAGGAAAACCAGAAGAGAAACTCACCGGGGACAAAGCTGAGGAGATAATCGAAAAACTTTTGGAATCGGAACCACATCAAAAGGAGAAAAGCTCAGATACGGCAAGGGATTATGAGAGCACCAAGAATATTCCGGAGGAAAAGCCTCACTTTCGAGCTGATGTAGAAAACCATCATTATGACACCGATAAACCTTCAGACAACGGTAACTCTTACCATGAAAGCGACAAAAATATTGACAGAGGAGCACACGATTATGGAAACGACAAAAGCATAGAACGAGGACATAGCGATTACGACCATCACGACGCACACAGCGGCGGTGTGGAACCGCACTTCGATCACCATCTGGAAGAATTGGGCGACGATAGAGTGAAAGTCGGAAACGAAGACATTGTAGGGCCACACGATGAACACCTTGAAGATGACGATTTGGAGGACATATCGGAAATCGATGAATCTGCAATTAAACAATCAGGTACAAAGGAGTCCGAAATCAAAACAGAGAAAGAAGAAGAACACGACGACCATGAGGACAAGGAAGAAGTGAAAGAGGACAAGGAAGAAAAAGTGGAACAAAAGGAAGAAAGCCACCCTGAAGCCGAAAAAGAAGCATCACATAAGGAATCATCTGATTTTACATTTTTCCAGCCTCTTGACTTCATTAAAGACTTGGAAAAAGTAATATATCCGGAAGTCCACAGCAAGGAAGTTCATTTTCCGGACATCAGCGACAAAGTACCACACTTCGAACACAGCGACGTAGAAAAAATAAACTTTGCAGAAAAAGACAAACCATTTGCGGAAGACGATGACAAGGACATTCAGCTGCACGAATCAATACACGATGAACCCGAACTGAATGCGGACGATGAAGACCAAGAATCGGAAGCCGAAGCCAAAGAATCAGATGAACAAGAATCGAAGAAGAAAGAGCACAAAGAGGACAAATTGGAAGTAGAAAAAGAACAACCCGAAGAAAACCTCGAAACTAAGCACAAAGACTTTAATCCGTTCAAGTATTCCGATTCTGACAAAACCCCCAAAAAAGAAAAAAATGGCCCACAGGCAGATGAAGACAAAGAATCAGTTGAACAGGAAACGAACAAAAAAGAGAACCAAGAGGAGGAAGAAACAATAGAAAAGGTGACCCCAAAAAAAGAACCCGTTGTGGAAGAATACTTTGACCCATTTAAATACACAGACTTCAAAAATACCAATTCTCATTCAGAAGACGAAGAATCAGATGAAGAGGAATCAGATAAAGAAGAAACAAAAAATAAAGAGCGCAAAGAAGAAGAGCTGGAAGAGGCAAAATCTAAGAACAAACCCGAAACTACTGAAGAATACTTTGATCCATTTAAATACTCAGACTTCAAAAAGACCAGTGCTCATTCAGAAGACGAAGAATCAGACGAAGAAGAAACAAAAAATAACGAGCACAAAGAAGCAGAGTTGGAAGAGGCAAAATCAAAGAAAAAACCCGAAACTACTAAATATTTTGGCCCATTTAAATACTCAGACTTCAAAAAACCCGAAGCCGAACAGGAAGACGAAGAATCGGATGAGCAAGAAACCGAAAAAGATGAGGACAAAGAGGACGAAGAAGAATTGGAAACAGCAAAGCCTGCGAATAAGCCCGAAATTGTTGAAGAATACTTTGATCCTTTTAAATACTCGGACTTTAAAAAGTCTGAACCGCGGCAAGAAGACGAGGAAGATGAGCAAGAAACGAAGAAAAAGGAGTTTGAGAAGGCACAACCTCAAGAGCACGAAACCAATCAAGAGTCTTCGAATCCATTTAAATACTCAGACTACAAGCAGTCGACAGATAAGAAGCAGGACGATGAAGAATCAGAGGAGCAAGAAACGAAAAAAGAAGAGCACGAAGAGGACCAAAAAGAACCGGAAAAGGCACAGGAAGCAGCAAATCCATTTAAATATTCAGATGTAAAAAAATCCGAATCAAGTGATAAAGAGTCGAGTCAACCAACCCAAGACGAAAACACCTCGAAAAAGGACGACATTGACGAACGAGCGGTCGAACCACAGTTGCAGGGTTCAGCAGAAAATGCTGATGAAGAAAGTGATGACGCCGAAGAAGAGGAAAATGAGGAGGAAGACACAGAAAACGAACAAACCGAAGATGCTGAAAAACAGCGTGAAGAGGAAGAAAAGCTGAAAAAGCAGGCAGAAAACGAAAAGGCGCTTCGTGAGTATATCAACGAACATTTCGAAGTTGATATAATCAATGGACAGCCAGTTCCCAAAGCGGTCAAAGACACTGAACGCTACAAGCAGATAGTGGAAAATGTAAGAACCCCAACTGAAAGCTTCGACGTTTTCGCGCCAAATGACTTCAACTATAAAAACATCCACGGCTTTGCCAACAAAAAGTTCAACGAGAATCTGAAAAAGCTCGAGAAAGCTAATAATCAAGTGGACGAAACTGTCATTCCTAAACAGCTGGAAGACGACGATGAGGAGTCAGATGATGAACCAGAGTCAGAGGATGATGAGGAGTTTGACGAAGAAGCTGATGAAGAGGATGAAGATGAAAAGGCCGAAAACACTGCGGACGTGCCGTGTAGGGATCCGGAATTCGATCGCATTGAGAAAAGTATCAAACAAGACCTTAAAAGAATTCCTTCGTCCGAAACTGTTGGCAGCGAGCGAAGAGAGGAAAAGGAACAGCCAAAAGAGGAGCAATCCAAACAAGCCCCCGAAACACTGAAGTATCCCCATGAGCAAAAGTTTGCGGACATTTATTCGGATTTCCACAAGAAGCTGATTAATCCCGAACCCCAAGACAGCAACACTCACCAAGTGGTGCACCCTAATCTTCACACGGGGGGTTTTAAGCATGGTGGTGTGGAAGTATTGGAAAATGCTGAAAAAGTCGTAACTGTACCGTATGATTACGATTACAGTAGCAGCGATAAGAAACTGGTGGTTGCTACTACTCCAGCTACTGGTAGCAATGTTGATAGAGTTAAAAGAAACGCCGATTGGAGCTACGAGCCGCATAGCTACCAACCTGGCTCCTACAGTCCGGAGTCGTACGATCCTAATCCAAGTTTTAACTATCAAACTTCTGAGCCTCAAATTGAAGCAATTCCTTTGATTAAAAAGAGAGATGAGCCCCTAGGGCCCAAAGCTGTGGTCTTTGAAAATGAAAGCGGCAGGAAGAAAACGTATATTAGAGTGAAGCAAAAGCAACAGGAGATGTATGGATAAGCGCTGATGTACAGAGTTATTGGTATGCATGTTTTTGGTATTTTTTTAGTGTTGCGATGGTGTTTTTTCCCTTTGCATATAAACTGTACATTTCAACTGAAGACGACGCCACTTTTAAACGATAAAAGACTAAATACTTAAGACCTAATGTCGACACTTGGAAAATATTAACTGAAAGTAGTAGTTAGTCATGTCGTTGTAATTGTTAACGTCCTTAGCCATTACGAACGGGCTTTACGGTATAATTACTGAAATCATGTCTAACTGTTATGTAGTTTTTAGTGCGAAAGCCAAGATTTGTTAATCTCGACGGTTTTTTTCCTTCTGTGTACTATTTATTATGTTTTCTTTTTGTTATATTCGAAATATCGGTAGTGTAGAAACTAGTGTGGCAACAGGCCTTGTGCATAATATGCATTGTTCGATTACCAAAAAGAGTCGATACGACACGGTTGTGATTAGCAACACGATTTTGTTATTTGTTAATTTATTTTAGACTGTGAAAAAATTGATTTGTTTTTGTTGCGTTGTGAAAATTGTTATAAAAGCGTTATGTTTTATTTCGAGCGGTTTACAATGTTTTTTATCTCATAATATTAATGCATTTGTTTATTAAATATTCTTACATATTAGTTTATGGTTTTATTTTTTTAGTTTACAAAATTAATATCGGGTTTTTATGTTATTCTTCGCCTGGAGTAATTTAGAAACCTTCAAATTCGAAAAACTGCATTCCTTGCTCCAATTTCGGGCTTAGACTAAAACATTTCACCGGATTCAAATGTATCCACAAAAATTAACTGCAATAGAGAATTACTTAAACTAAATAATAAACGCAAATAGAAATAGATTTATTATTCAAAAACTTCTTGAAGAAACAAAACAATATACAGGGTGTCCCGTAAGTACATGATCAAAGGGTACTGCGATATTCTTTGGATCAAAAGGAGACGATCTGACCTACTTTTATTAACAAAAAATGTCTGGCTCCTCTGCTATTGATGGTCAAAGTTCCTCAAAAAAACTATCTTTTCTGAAATGCCGGGAGAATGGTACGATGGATTTTGGTAAAACTCGCTGTGAATTTGTTCTTATCTAAGGCTCATATTTTGATGAAACAATTGAGTTCAGTCGTTTTGGACAAGTGGTGAATTCTTGAGTGTCGTGATACAAAAACTCCAGAACTTTTTAGTTGGAGGATGAAATCAACTCATTTTTTTTTAGGTTGATGCACTAATCATTTATTCACAACTTTGTGCTCTTTGTAAAATTTCGTAGTTTTTGCACAACAAAAATGTGTCTGTTTTCTTGCCACTTGGCAATATTAGACATTAACTGCAAATATGCTCCGCGTAAACGCAAATTGTCTTCGCAAAACCCCAATACTTTGACTATGTCGGGTCACTTCTTCATTAGAAAAAGTAATTCGAAA